GGCCGTTTTCAAGCTTTGCGGCTTGCGCAACCGGGGATCGGAGGGATCGCCTTGAAGGGAGACATGGACGTGTGACTGGCCAGTGACGTTTCCGTGTGAGCCTAGCACGCCGATCATAGTGTGGAAGAATCTCACTTTGCGGGGTTCCTCCGTGGGCGGGAGGAGATTCCTCGGGACCCGAGACTAACACGAGTAGACAATCGCAGGTGATCACTTCTCGGCGACCATATTTCCCCGATGATGGTTCACCAGCAGGGTCCTCTGTTTCTCAAGATACCACTCAAAGAACACTATACGAGGAGCTCAGCCACGACCGGCAGTCCCGACAAAGCGGTCTGGAGGGATGCTGGTGACACTGCGCGGCCGTATGTCCGAAAGCTTTGTTTGCTGCAGGATTCGGGTGCGTACAGACGAGTAAGACCTATGTAAGACCCAAGTATTCGTCATGTTGATCGTTCGTATTCCCGGAAGAGCACACTCGTCGTCAGGGTTGGCCGATGCAAGAAAGCAAACGCATGATCACGGAGATACGCCAGAAGACCAACAAATTTTGTGAAAGGCATCAAGAAGTTCAGACGTGTTCAGGATTGGTATAAATCCAGGTGAGCTGTCCTCTCCCATTCTTCCGATTCTCATCTCCTCATCATTCCAACCACTCTCAGCCCTCGGACCGTCCAAACTCCAATTACACCAACAAAAACAGACCTCAACGCTGCACACCCGAACTCTGTTCCTCTTCCAGCTACAGTACATTCAAGACCCCTTGCACCCCCTCAAAAAAACCAAATCCCTCTTCATCCATTCCATCATGCATTTTTCAACCATCATCGCAACCGCAGCGGCCCTGTTCCTCGGAGCCGAGGCCGGTGCCGTGCCCCGTCAAGACCCCCACATCACCGACTTCCGGATCTGGAGCGAACAGGGATGCGGAGCTGCCGGTAACCTCGGCGTCTGGACCATCACAAAGTCGCAAACCGATGTGTGCCAAACAACGTTCAACGCACCGGACAATGTCGTTAAGGCCATTCGCCTCAGCAGCCTTACAGAGGGCTGTGAGAGTAAGACCCTAATACCCTGTTTCTTGAGACAAATGGCTAATACTGGCTGGCCAAGTGATTGCCTACCCTACAGCCGATTGTGGAGAGGGAGGTCGCCAAGTCGGCGTCCAGACTTGCGAGGAGTGGAGCGATATCGCCGACAACTTCTTGAGCTTCAAGGTCACCTGCTCTTAGCCATTCTCATAACTTATTGGGACTCTCGCATTTTCTGGAGTTTGTGATTTCCTCGACGATTTGGGACCGGAGAAAATGGTGCATGAACGCATGGGTTGGAGTTGAACGCAGACACAGCATATGGAACCTTCCTTGGGAGTCACGACTGACAAGGATGTACGCCAGTGACTGGGCTTGGCATAATAATGGTAATTCACTCCTTAGGTACTATTTTCTATAGAGAAATTGGACACGATCAATGATCTATATATAAACTCCCGACGCGATTATCTTGTGAGGAATGATAGCCGAACTTTTTTAGGTCTAGCGTACGTATCATTGTAGCCGTCAACGAGCAGCCAAGTGAGACATCTACCATACATTCCCAGTAGAAATAAATAGACATTGACTGGATTTCGTGTCTGATTACAGTAAACCTTCAGAGAAAGCACGTTGTTTGCATAGTGGTGAGCATGCTCTTGATGGTCCCCGAACGTCTTAATTGCCTTAGTGCTCAGGAGTAGGGTATCGGCGATCACACTCGGATCAGGAGTGCCGTTAGGTATTTCAAATCGAAATTCCCAAGAAGAATAGCTCCGTGGTCCCAGAAAGCCCAATTGTCATAGCTTGGACCCTTGAACGTGGAGACGGCTCTTTCGTAGTTTGGCGCCTGTCCTAGAACGGGGTGAGTCTTGAATGCATGATGTCAAGAGAGCCAGAGTATCGGCACTAGCGGCACTTCATCGTCATTGCGACCGGGCACCCGCCTCGAGCTACATATCCTCGAGGTTTCCTCAGGTGCGCTGCCAGCCTTCATCATTCGATTTTTTTGGAAAGTTGGATAGAGTTCTTGTTCCTATCACGAACCTCATATCAATCGCAACAATGAGCCAACCAATTGGACTGACAACGATCCCCAGGCTGCTGCGTATGTGCTAGACACCGAATTTTAGCCTCAGATATGTTTGCCTAAGAGCTAACTTGCATCTTCGGGTAGCTGTTACGGGCACGTTCGCGCTCCCATTCACGATCTACTACGCATTCCTTAGCCTTCGTGTCGTCAACGAGCGTCTGAAATCAAAGCAATACTTGGGCGACAACTCCTCAAAGCCTGGAGCGGACCCCGAATCATACAAGGCCAATGCACTTTACCTTGCCGGCCGATCGCATGTCAATTACATCGAAAATGTGCCGCTTGCTTTCATCCTCGCTTCACTGATCGAGGTCAATGGAGGCAACCGCAAGATACTGAGCTGGCTGCTCGGGAGCTTCTTTGCCCTTCGTGTGCTGCATGCCGAGCTTGGAATTATGAAGCCCGAAGGCATGGGCAAAGGCAGACCCATCGGCTATTTCGGCAGCATCGGTGTTCTCGGGGCTTTGGCGGGCTACGGAGCCTTCTTGGTCAAGGGATATTGGGGATACTAATTAACGTACCTTTCATTACATCGAGAATGTAGACGGGCTGAAGACAAGCAAAGACAAGAAGGGTCAAAAGCGCATCATTCTACCTACTTACGCTGTAAAGCTGCGAGGAGTGCTAGTGTTTACTGCAGCTCCTCCCCTACTTTTGCGGGGCTAAGAGAAACTATGTGCACTTAAGAACCAGGGAATCAAGGATCTCTGAATGCCCGCGTGTGTAGCCAAGCATTAGATTCACTTGGGTTTATAGGCTGAAGGTTTCAAGTCATTACCTGTCAGCATCTGTAATCAAGCCTCTAATCCATTGCTGGGCATCGATCATCTCAACCAGGAGTCAGAGTGCCGGGACAGTTCATCGTAACTCTTGCGTCGCTAAAGGGCCTGCATAAGGTCGCTTCGCTATTTCCCCGCCTGTAATTAATTATATGGTTCACGTCGTTGGACTTTACCCAAACCTTAATCACAACAGTCCCGCATGATTCGCTATTTCATTAAAATGTCCCTGGATGAACGGCAAAAACACATCCACGAAACCCAATCAGTGCACTCTTTATCCCCGGCTCTTGGCGCCGAGGTTGGACGGTTTCCTTGCGCTCTCCGCGAGCGATGGTAGAATGGTTCAGGTATTAAAGCCGTCAAGGGTCGCTCTGAAATAATACCTCTGCGTCATGGAGAGTTTCTCGTACATCTTCTGACCCATCTTGCCTGCAATGCACTTCTCTAAGGTTGCCCTCCTTTCCGCGCCTGTGATGGCCATGGCCAGCCCTGTCGCCTTGGAAACAAGACAGGACAACACTTGCTGCTATCAAACCGAGGTGAGAAACCATCCATTCGATCTGTCGAACGCCAGCTCGCTAACGCTTACACTGCCTAGGATGTGAACGCCCTCGTCTTTGTGACCAAAGGCCAGTCATCTCAGACTCTTGATACGCTTAACTGGTGTTATCTGCAGGTTGACCGGTATGCGGAACCTCTGAACACTTTTATCTATTGACTGAACCTAATTCTTCGGTGCTAGCGACGTGACTGATCCAGACAATTGCGAGAAGGCGACGCGATCATACTGGGCTGGGTACTGTCCCTCGGATGGCACAAAGGTTATCCCGTGCCCCTAGGTGACGTATTTCACGGAGTTTGCGCCACACAGGTGACATGCCATACGGTGCATGATAGCAAGTAGTAGGCAGTTTAGCGAAGCTGCCAATGAAGCTATAAGTTTGATTATAGCCTTGAATAGCTGCTTACGTTCCAAGAACTCGGGTCCTCGGTCCTTCGATGAACCCACTCCCTCAATCAGCCCTACACCAGAATGAAAGTTGTCTCTGTTCGCGATTTAAGCACAAGTGCTCCGCGGGCCTTCGCTATCGCTACCAGTCTACCAGACTACTCGGGCGGTTATTCTGGGGTGATAGCGTCAAGGCTAGGCTCAGCTCGGCTGACATGACAGGGGATCATCCTCGTTCCAGTGCTTAAACTCAACACGACCAAATGTTACCAGTCCTGATTGGCTAGTAAGACAAGCATCACCGTGGCTTGGGAACCACGAGGACAGCAACTCCGCCCCTCCTGCCTCCTTCGGTGTCAGCCTAAATGCTCACCGTAGGCCTCCCCGATAGCAGCTCAACGCGCGGGGCGCAGCACTCGGGATTTGGCTCCCGTCGCGCAGCTTTCTACTTAAGCTTGTGCGCGCCATCTTCCCCAGCCTTTGCATGGTTTTTGTTTGATACTTTCAATATCTCAACGTCCGTACACACCCAAACCATCATACTTACACAAGTTAACCGCCCCTCGCAAAGATCCGTCATCGACATTAAACCCGGAAACATCACGACAAATCGAGACATCCTGTGTTACATAATAAACACACCATGCGCAATCCTTTCAAGCCGAGACAAGCGCCTTCTCAAAGCTGGGTCGGGAGACCGAGAGCTCTATCAGCCGACGACCCAGTCTTCAAAGACCTCGACGAGGATGAACGAAAGGGCATTGAGAGCAGCTCTATCCGCCAACAACAAAAGGCGTCACAAGAGTCAAACAGAGAGTCGCTGAAGCCTTCTGGGTCGGATAGCGCCGTCTCAGTGGGAAGCGGATCATCTTCTCATCACAGCGTCAGCGCTGATATCGGTCAAGGTTATGCCGCAATCGCAGGAGCTTTCTCTGGCACTGACCACTCTGGACATTGACCGCGAAAGATCGGATTGAATCCATCTCAAAATCTTTGGTCGATTTGCAGGCTTATGGGCGGAACGGATGCCCTTTTGAATAGCAGGGGACGAACAAAGGGGAGCTGGCAACTGAGTTATGTTTTACGAGCGAAAGATACCCAAGAGAAATTCTTTATTCAACGACCGATCGAATAGCACGGAGTAATCAGCAAGTGATGTACACAGACCGTGCTCCATCGGTCAAGTAGAACTGTCCGTCCTTGTTGGCAACAGGAACGCAAGAATGGTCCTCGTATGCGTTGACCGTGCTGACCGTCGCCTTTCCACTGCACCCGGCATTTGCCCAGAACTTGAGCTTGCAGACGTTCCCGCCTCTGTTTGCGAATAATGCCCCGTAGACATTTCCCGAAAAATCTTGGCACCGGCCAGAGGAGACGTCAAAATTGTTGGTATAACTGCCAGCACAGCCTCCGTCGTGGAAGACGCCGAGACTAACAGTGTCGCGCTTCTGCATTGTGGCAGGCGTAGCAGCAGCTTGCGCTCCGAGGACCAAGACGAGGCCAGATATGATTTGAGTGAGTTGAACCTGAGGTGGATGCAGTTAGCATGCGGATTTTATCAAGATTTGCTACTTCGATAAATTTACCATTGTGAATATTGGATCTTGTCCTCGACTACTTGAGGATTGTGCGAAAGTCTGACCTCAAGGTCGATGTTGATGTCTAGTATTCGTGGAATTTATAGTCTTCTACGCGCTGGTCAACTTAGGCAGGTAGTTCTGAAATACCCCAATACATATCTCTCTGCTCGCATTGAGCGGGAACGTCTGACTACCGATACCTAGACGAACCACTAGTGGAGGGGAATCCGCATCAGACTCGAAGAGAAGGAGGAAGCAGCGGAGTTCCGCCCTTCACAGGCAATAATTTCCAATATCTTGCTTACTCGAAGCAGGCAATTGATCTCATTAGTGACAGCAACATCTCCGAGACCCATAAGTTCAGGGCCATAGTCCGACTAGAACATCTGTTCCGAGCGACTAAGCGTACGGTGCTTACTCACACTCCCTTCAAGCACTGCTGCCTGTAAGGCTGTTACTCAGCACCATGACACCAACGTAACATCAACCATATTGGGTGCAAAAGATGCTATTGTATCAGCCGATCAAAGATATACACAGAGAAGTCATGTCAAAGTGCCTGATTCATGAGATTCATTTACATAATGACCATGAATCCGGGGTCAAGGTTCGGGCACATCTGAACCAACGATGTTAAGAGTGTCATACGGAGCGATGGCTTGTCGACTATACTGGAAACCGTTTCTAATTCTAAGAAGGGTCATCATCATTGCTTTGCCTACGCATGAAACTCTCTGGCATCTGGCGTAACATCAACATAAACTTCAACCTGCTTTGAGTTGCCCGGCAAAAGGACTGCGACCCCTGATTTTCTCCCCATAGATACACAGCAACCAAGGGACGAGCGAAAGAAGCAAACCAATGCCACCTAGTAGACTTCCCGCAACACCGTACCCAAGCCTCTGAAACATGATGTTTGTAAACAAAGGGAACACTCCGGCAAGCAGATTCCGGCACATAGACTGTGCTGCTAGAGCGGAGGAGGCATATCGGTGATAGGTGTCCGCCAGATAGTTGAAGACAGCCAGATAGATGGTGAAGATGCCAACCGTCACGGAGGTGATTGCGAGTGCAGGCACAATCCAAGGTACGTTGGGAGACGAGCTCCAACCAAACCAAAACAGCCCGATCGGCAGGAAGAGTGACTCAACACATGCAGAATAGAGTCTTCCTTCCGGCGTTGCCATCCGTTGAGGCATGAACTTCTTGAAGATCGGCTCCTGGAAGATTGTAATCACCGCCCCGATTACCGATCCAATAATGACTGAAGTGTAGATACCTCCTACCTGACTGCTGTTGAAGCCATACACGGAGCGGAATGCCAGACCGATACTGTTGAACTGCATGTATAGGATTGCCCACGCGAATGAAACCCAGGCGGAGAACCAAAAGACGACGGATTCGGTGCAAAGAAGTTTCAGGGGGAAGGAGAAGCTCCGCCAAAGGATACTCATATCAAGCTCAGGACCCTCGAAATGGGCGCGGAACTGGACACGAACAGGTTGCGACTGACCCTCGCTCAGCTGCTCGGTGCCTTGCCGCAATCCACTCTTGTCCCCAATCGGCGACGAGACCCGCTGCAGGCGAATACCGTCGAAATGTTTGTTGAGAGTTACGCACTTCCGCTCAAGTACAACATTACTCCGCGTCTCGGCGAAGAAGATGAAGATAACTAACGTGGTACAACTGACAGTGATCATCTGCACGTAAAAGATCCATCTCCAATGGAGGTTGTCGACGATTATACCGCTGATCATGGGACCCAACCCGGTTCCAATCATGATCGTGAGCGAGTAAAGGGCCATGGGCGTGTTGCGATTCTCCTTGTGGAATACGTCTCCCACCACGCCCCCGGTCAGCGTCGCAAAGACTGATGCCCCGTTGCCCGTAATCAGACGAGAGACCAACATGCCAGGAAACGACTGTGTCACCGCGCAGCCCAGGGTTCCCAGGAAAAATACGGCACCTGAACCGACAAAGACCCAGTAGCGGCCGTAGATCTCGCTGATCAAGGCTAGTATCATGGGCGCGAAGCCGAAACCCAAGACGAAGAGGGTGATGCCTAGGTTGAATTGGGTGTTCGTGAGATGCCATTTCTCAACCAGGGGGGCAGCGGCCATGGCATAAGCGCCGGCAGAGTAGGCGGCTAGGGTCGAGGCGAGGAAGGTCCCAAAGAGCACCGTGATCTTCTTTCGTAATGGCCATGCGAATGGTGATTGGTATCTCGTATCGAGGGATGATGGGTAGTCCTCCTCGAGGAGGCCTTCGATACCGTGTGATCGCAAACATTCTGAGAGCTGGAATGCCGGATCTAGCGCATCGATGTTGAGAGGGATATCAATCCCATCTGCTATGACTGTGGTTGACTCTCCAAGCGCGGCAGGATTTGATTTCCCCTTGACATGGTTAATGTTCGTAACCTCGGTTATGTTGGACCGTTCAATGTCTGAGTCGCCAGTGGAGATGCCATCCAGAGGCAGAGGGACTTGACCCATGGTTGAGTGAGGTCGCATCCTAAGCCATCTGCGTCGGTGACTGCGATAGTTACCATCGAGCAAGGCAAAGATGACGCTGTGGAAAACTCACTTCACGCGATGGGACGCAACGGCGCTTTAGATCAATCGCCTTTGCCAACGACCTATTGAGTCAAACAGCCGCCAAGCGATGCGGGCGCGGAGACTTCTCCGCATGCCGCGTTGTGTATCCGCTGTCCGTCCACACCTTAGGGAGTCGTCCACTGGTCAGTCTCCGATGATCGGAGGACCCTAGTCCATCCTCTGCGTCATTGTCCCCATCTGGTCAACCGGCTATACAACTACTAACAGACGGATACACCTCCCCATTGTCATTCTGCAAAGTTATGTGGCTGGCTTAGTGAGAGTGTTAGGGAGGGTTCATGATCAAGCTTTAGTTGGTGCGATCGGCCATAGACGGTGGCCACAGCGATATTGCAGATGAAGAGAGTCCTCATGGTCTCTCCAACTGTCAATGCCATCGCCATTCCTTGGTTTTGCTACCTGCAGCACCCGTGGGGAACAATAAGGGAAATCGGACATGTAACCCCTTTCATGAAGACAGCATTCTTTATACATGTCCATTGATCCACCAAGGAAGCTTCCCCAGTATCGCGTGGTAGATCGTTTGGATGAGACCTCCGCAGGATCGGCGGTTGAAAGCGTGAGCGGTCCGGTCCGCGGCAACGCCCCGGCATACTTCCTCAACCTAAAAGGACGTACAGCCTGGTTCATTGGCACTAAACAGGGGCAAGATGCAGCACTTTACCCAGAAGATTGGAACTCAGAGGGGTTATCGGGGAAATGCATGTCTTCTGCGGGCAAACATATCGTAGGCCGAATGTGTCGGCTAATATCTTGAGCTATCAGGACGCCCCCCCGGAACCAATGACGGTGCGGGGTACGGCATTTTATCTCGGCCCTTGTTCTCTACCTTTGGAAAGGACTCAAATAGCATTGGGCAGAATGAGGTATCAGGAGGGCCCTTCAAGATCGGATTCACTTCGCTGGATATCTAAAATCTCAGCATACTACCTTACTTCTGGCAAGAGTTGGTCAAGAAGGGATGCTTGGCGATTCACGGATTCCTTGTTTCCCGACCGGATGCCATTGATGGGCAAGCGTGGACATGACGCCTCCTTCGCATCAGGGTTCATCTCCCTGCGTCGCTGACTAACACTCGATGAAAAATAGCGAAACTGGACTCAAAGCCCGCAGCTCAATCCCCTCATAAGTCTCCCTCGGCCGATTAATGCCTCCTCTTTACTTACACAAATGAGGACCAAATTGATCGAGTGTGCCTATCAATAACAGTTGGATGCGCTTTACGTGCCACGTACGAGTCGTCTTTCTACCGGCTTGCCATCGCTCGCGATGCAGCCATTCAAATGAGCATAGTGACACACAGTTGATGTTGGAACAGCAACTCTGGTGAGAGGGCCTTAATTACTATGTTCTTCCAAAATGAGGAATCAGGAGGCTCGTGCTTGGGTAAACGAGGCAAAGGTCCCAAGTCTCACCTACCTCGCTTGGCCGCGGCTCATTGGCACTATCACGCGATGGTGGCTAGGATGGCTTCATTGCGCCCAGCCTTCGCATGAGGAAGGAACCAAGACTTCGGTTCAATATGCTTACCCGTCTCGTCTTTTCCCCCGAGGGACAAGACATCTTTGGGGACCTTTTGTGAAGCAAACTTTTTCAGCTGAAGATCAGCAAGGTGCTGATTTGTTGATGTTCCCCGTCGCTCCCGGCAAAAGTTGTAAGCCAGTCTCGCCATGAGAAGATGCTGCCTGGCGAGTCCGCAAGTGCGTCTAACCCCTGAGTGTCATGCAAACTCTGCGCGGGATGAGGATCATATCCCTTGTCTGAGATGCAGCCTGGAACTCGGTTACAACCGATGGAAGGGTGCCCAGACCTTGCCATGGTTGCACCATCGGCAGCAGATCTCACGTACGGGACTGCAGCTCACAGCTGCTATTGAGTCCAATGGACGATCTAGAGGTGATCATGAAATTTGCTCACCCGGAAGGTCAGATCATATTGCAGCGGGATAACACGAGAACTCTCACAGCATGTCGTGAGAAGGCCGCGTGGTGCTTGTTGTGTTCATCAAGGCATAGAGGGCAAGAGCAAAGCACGACGTTGAACAAGTCCTAACGCCATGTGACTCTGGAAATGCGCACTTACAATGAGGCAAGCGCCTTTTTTGGCCGTAATTGTCGATAAATGGCAAGAATCTTTGAAGTTTGCTAGGGCAGGTGAAGTCGAGATGCAGCTTGTCCCAAGTGAAGGATCATCGCCTTGCCCAGTCAGACACGACCAGCCCTGAGCCTGATCGGCAACTGGGGCAACAGGCACTTTCTCTTTTGAATCAACTACAAGTTGTACGCATTTGAGCGGAGGAAAGTGCGACACAAAGTACACGGGCAAGGATATGAGAATGAGGCAGCAGTTACTATCGAGGTCATAGGTGAGACGAGGTTCATGACTGTGTTGTACAGGTGAGTTTGGAGTTATACATACTTCACCAAAATTCGGGCGATTCTCATCAGATGGTACCTTTCGGAGTATATCTGATAGTCTCACCACTATTTCAATGATGAAGCATTCATTTACACTGAATTGGAAGAAGTCATGGTGTTCCGCTGTTACATAAGGCGTCGTGAGCGTGTCGCCCACAAAGCTCAATCGATGCCCCACGGGATAAAACCGGGTCCCAACGCCAAAATTTTCCCACTTCGAGTCTTCGACATCTTGTCCTCAGATCGCGTCATCGGCCGAGTGGACCACAAACAGAAACTATGACACAGAACTTTTCGCACCAGACCACTGGGACTGCGGGATGGAAATCCCTTGTGCTTGTACCCTGACAGTTCGAGAATAAGAGCTAGGATCTTGGGGGCCATGTTGGGGGTCCAAAGAGGGACTCGAAGACTCCAAGAAGCCTTCCAAGAAGCTCCAGATGCTCGCAGCTCCATCATCCATGGTCTCTCGTAGGTAAATCTCGCATGCGGATACTCTCGGCGCACCACTGACGGTTAGACTCTCGAGTCTCCAGAGCCTCCTAATCCTTGTATGTCGGGACGGTGACCTCTGGGACTTTTTGGTTTTTGGCTCTATTCGTTCGTATGTGCAAGGGTGCCTACCAATGCGGCGCAACCTCGACTGCTCACCCCCAAGACGACAAGCCGATTCCACCCAGACGAACCTCTCGCCACATGGAGCCAATTCGGTGTAAATAAGACGTGATCTCCTTGGCGGGGCCTGCTCTGCCACAGACATAAAGTCTTCTGTCAACCTTCTAGTTTCGTAGTTCTTTCGGATCGTCTTCCGTTCTCCAGTCTTCCGTCTCCATCTGGTGTCTTTTCCTGGTCTCTGATCGTTTACACCCACGACGACAGGATTAGTTCACCATCATCACATCGTCAAGATGTCCAAGCTTTTGAACAAGTTTGGCGCCTCGTCGTCGGCCACTGCCGCCGACGGTGACCACAGAAAGCATGGCGATCTCCCAGCAGCGACGACCTACGACAGCGAAGTTGGTGAGTCTTCTTCATGATGATGGTTGCGGAGCGCACTCCGCTGACCGAGCTCTGCCGCACAACCGTCAACTTGCTAATCAATCATCCCAGGCCGCATCGAGCACGCCCGCGAAAACAAGCGAAAAATCGGTGTCACCACTGCCATCTTCCTCATCGTCAACCGTGTTGTCGGCACCGGTATCTTTGCGACACCCGGCACCATCTTTGCACTCTCTGGCAGTGTCGGCCTTTCACTCTTTATCTGGGTTGCCGGCATGATTATCGCCCTCGCCGGTACCGCGGTTTATCTCGAATGGGGAACCGCAATCCCCAAGAACGGAGGAGAGAAGAACTACCTCGAATACGTCTTCCGCAAGCCCAAGTTCCTCACCACGGGTCTCTACACCGGATACGTCATCCTGCTCGGCTGGGCTAGTGGTAACTCTGTCGTCTTTGGCGAGTACATTCTGCACGCCGCTGAGGTCGAGGTCGACCGCTGGAACCAGCGCGCCATCGGCCTGGCTTGCATCACCACCGCCTTCTTGATCCACGGTCTCGCCCTCAACTGGGGTCTGCGCCTGCAGAACCTTCTCGGAACTATTAAGCTGGTCATCATTGTCATCATCATTCTTTGCGGCTTCATTGCTCTCGGTGGCCACGTCAAGCTGCCCGAGGAACAAAAGCCCAAGAACTTCCAAAACGCATTCGAGGGAACCACCGGCAGCCCCTACGGTGTCGTCACTGCTCTCTACAACGTCATCTGGAGTTACATTGGATACAGCAATGCCAACTATGCCCTCAGCGAGACCAAGAACCCCGTCCGTACCCTCAAGATCGCCGCGCCCGTCGGTATCATCACCATCTCCATCCTTTACATGCTGGTTAACGTCGCCTACTTTGCCGCTGTCCCGAGAGAGGAAATCCTTGAGGGTGGTCGCCTTGTGGCGGCGTCCCTTTTCCGCAATGTAATGGGCGGCACTGCCGAGCGTGCTCTTTCAGTCTTCGTCGCCCTGTCCGCCTTTGGCAACGTTCTCAGTGTCATCTTCTCCCAGGGCCGTCTCGTCCAGGAGCTCGGTCGCGAGGGTATTCTGCCCTGGTCGCGTTTCTTCGCCAGCAACAGACCCTTGAACGCCCCCTTGGCTGGTCTCTTTGAGCATTGGCTGATTTGCGTCATTACGATGCTTGCTCCCCCTCCTGGTAAGAAGAACTCAACCGAGCTCTGTGTCACGATGCATACATACTAACATACCTATAGGCGATGCGTACAACTTCATCCTCAACCTCATCAGCTACCCCCTCGCCATCATCAACGTCTTTGTCGCTGGCGGTCTTGCTTACCTGTACCTCAACCGCAAGGAATGGAACTGGAACCCTCCCATCAGCGCCAGCCTGCCCGTGGTCATCTTCTTCATGCTTAGCAACATCTACCTCGTCATCGCACCCTTTGTGCCCCCCGAGGAGGGCCAGAACGTTTATGAGAGCCTACCCTACTACCTTCACTGCGTTGTTGGTATCGCTATCATTGTGGCTGGTGGTCTCTACTGGGTTGTCTGGGCCAAGATCCTACCCAAGATTGGCAAGTACGAGTTGGTTCGCGAGACTGTTGTCGATGAGATTGATGGCTGGGAAAGGAATGTGTTCTTCCGCAGACCTTATGGCGAGTCTGTTCCCTCGGAGCGTCATGTTGGGTCTCCGGAGCCTGAGGTTGCAAAGTGAACGCGTCTACGGTCAGATTCTGCTGCACAACCGAATCGTGACTTACTGCATTGCGATCATTACATATTGATTCTGAGGATACCCTAGTAGCATAATTTTATACCTTATTAATATCCCACTCTTAGCACACCTAGCAGGTAGACCGTTCGATCATCTTCCCGAACCTTCCGCGAGCCTAGCATCAACTTCCTCAGAAGAATCTTGTTCAGACTCATATGTGTATTAAGTGAGTAAGCTCGAAGGGGCTGATCCCCCGACCAGGCTGTAGAAACCGACTAGACACCCACCTCTTAACCCAGCCTTCCGCGCCCTCTTAGACTCGAGGCTCAGCTCAGTGGTCTTATGCGACAGCGAACTCGATGCAGGCAAGGCTAGAATACGAGATTACCTAGCACTAACCATGTGTGGCACGAAATGGCTGCGCCAAAAGAAGAACCTCAACGCAATAATATGCGAGTAAAATGCAAGTTGTTCAAGCTTATGTGAAATGCGCATCTTCTTGTTTCACCACGACGGTCTTTACCCAATGAGACGTTCAGGCTAAGCGATAGGTCATCTACTAGAGGTCGGCTCCAAGCCAAGCTGAGATCGTACTTCCGGGGTGCAGCTTGACACAACTCAGCTGGAAACGTTGACGAATGATAAAGCCAGGTCCAATGAAATGCACAAATTGCGGCAACAGAGAATCCTCGCTTGCTGTTTCATTTAACTATTTACATGTACATAATAGACGGCCAATTTCCAGTCCTGTTTCTCTCTTGCTCACATTGCACACGTGAGCATTCCGACGCTTATGCGATGGCATCAGTGCAGCCTGCTCCGTTGGAGCAAGTCCTTCACCAACTCGTCAATAACCTGGCCGAACTGACCAGAATCCTGTCTGGTCAGGAAAGTTCTGAACACGCACAGAACAAGCAACTGGTCGCACAGAATTCTCCAGAAACTAAGAGCGATGTGGGAATGTCCACACAATTACCACTCGAGGTGGAAACAATTTTGTGTGTAACGCCAGTCGCCGCCTCTGACCTAATAGAAGCAGTCGTTCCAGTAGAAGGCTCATCGGACGCAACACGAGGTGTCCATGAGAGTACTACAGCATCTGAACCGCCGCTAGAGATCGCGCCACTGCAATGTGGAGCGCCAGCTACCAATCCTGATATCTCGACAGAGGCTGTTCCAGCGAATGTCTCAACTGACAGACCGCCAGACACTTCTGAGAATACCGCAACGCCTGCGCCACCACAGCTCGATGATTCTAACCACCCCGAAGATGTCGTTACAGTAACGGGCGCTCCATCAGAAGACTCTGGGAGTCCTGTAGTGTCTGAGCTACCACAACCCGATGCTATAGTTCGCTTACCAAGAGATCTGGATGAGTGGTTCGTCAGCCCTCTTCCTACCGGCATTCGCATGAAGATATTTCAAGCTGCCGGTACTTCATTTCTCATGAGTCATCCTTTGTTTGGTTTCATGACATTGAAACTGAACTTGGAGAAAGCTGGTGCTTCGACATCGATTCTCGAGGAATTCACGGAAGATCCCCTCCGCATAGGCCTCTGGGAACAGTATATTGAAATCGCATATACACAATACACGTACTACGTCAGAACTAAGTTCCAGTTGGTCGAACTTCCAGCCCTGGAAGGAAAAGATGCGCGTGAGCTCTATATATGCGTTAGATCAAGGATCCGTAGCTTTTGTCAGTCAAACTTCAAAACCATCCGTCATGGAACGCGCGAGCTTTTCGTCCCGGATGTAAGTCCATCAAGTTCCGGAGGCGCGTGCTACTCCGTGAATCAGTCTGGGACACCGTTTCTCTCCAGTCAAACGGTTCGTTCAACACCCTGTAGACAAAAGATGTCGTGAGGTTCTCATACTAATACTAACACCATAGGATCGGGTCGAGACACCATTGGGTAAAGTTTGGTACGTTGAGATTGTTTGTTTCCCTCCTTAGCACATTGGCGCAGTAAAATGATAATTGTCAACGAAACAGGATGGTCAAGTCGCGTGTTCTTAGGAGATCGACATTGAGTATACCAGTATTGGCCTCTCTATCAAGTTGGCTTTCACCTGCGAGCTCGGAACAAATCATTGGAATCATTTCCTCCTACATACTCCCGCGCCACATCACGACCCACCGCCGTTTTCAATGTCAAACATTTACACGGCCATCTGATCCGACGGAAGCAGGTCGAGGATCCATGAGACTTGTCTTCGGCATAAGCTACTGGGTTCAGTTGATACATTTCCCGGACATAGAGGACCAACAAACACATGAGGAAGGCATTCTGCTGTGCAGAGAACTTGGGAGTATTTTTGGGCCACAATATCCCACAGACCGGTCTGACAGCGACTACACTCATCAACAGGCTCGACAAGTTGGGCCTGGTTCGTTGACGGCCATGTTAGCGGCGAGCGTTCTTGGAGGAGCAGGAGGTTCTGGGATAGATCTACTGTTTTCCATCTTCAGACGGATCAACTCGGTCCCACTGGCAAAGTATTCGACATTGAGACAGACGCGGACCACGGTCAACGGGAAGTGGAGAGACATTATGTCGGATGAACGGAGATCTACGGTCCTTGAAAGGAGATCAACCGTGGTGACTACTCTGGACGAGATTTCGACAGGTTCAAAGTACACAACCGTCATACTAGCTGATGACAAAGTGGAACACAACCTTTCTCCAGAATCATTGAGTAACTTAGTGAGAAATAGCAAAGGGTCTACACCACCCCTCCAGCCTTCTGGAATTTGCCACCATTTGCTCATTATTTTCACAATAATGGGTACCTGGGAGCAGCGCTGGCATGAGATATTGGATGTCATTGAAGCTGAAACGTCCATACAGGTTAGTTAATATTTTCCTAAAGTCTTTTGACTTCCAGCTTAGATGTTACCTACTTACCTTTATGCCGTTCATGGAAGAACACATTGGTGTACACACCCCACTACTGCAAATAATGTTGAGTGCTTACTCAAGTTCTCGTAGATGCATGAAATCCAGGACACGCATCGGCTGGACGAATTGATGTTCGATCGGTCATTGCAGGTATCCAAAAGATACTTTTCATTGCTTCAATTCCTCAAGCTTGCCTCGAATTCTCTGGAAGAAACAGCGTCCAACTTCGAAGCAAATCACAGGCACTTCCTCGAAGCAGTGTCCTCTGCTACTCAAATCATACGTGACGACGAATTGAATGGCGTGAAAGAAAGCTGGAAATACGTCGCCGAGTCCATCAGTGCGTCAACTAAAAGGCTTCAGGGTCGTGTCAATCAGCAAATAGAAGACCTCAAGGTGCATCAAGAAAGCGTAAGCAACATCATCCCAGTGAAGTTTCATTTTTCATGTCTTCGAGAGCTCTCGCTAAATCATTTAGATGTTTAACGCAACATCTTTGCGGGAGACCAACAACGGCATGGCGTTGAACAGATCTGTTTACGTGCTTACTGCCTTTACGATTTTGTACACCCCCATTGGGTTCATGGCGGTACGTGTTGTATATCAACTGAGCAGCTGGCTTGCAATCGCCGGTGGAATACTGACAATGCTCTCAAGACGTTTTGGGCGCTTCCATTTCTGAACAGTCCCTCCGATGGTGGAAAGCCAAAGGTACCCGACGGATTCCAGGAAAGCTTTATCACAGTACCCATTCTCACATACTTCATTGCCTTTGTTTCCTGTCTCTACCTCGGCTCTTCACGGTTTCGCAAAATTTCAACCCAAATTGTCCTAGGGTATCGGGCGTACCTGTTTGATCTCTTTGGCCCTGTCAAGTACATCTGGGATGTTCTCTTAAAGTTCACCGAACCCTTCCGAGTTGCAATTCGAGAAATCCATCGGCAAAGGGCGACGGTTAGCTTCAGCCCAACCCGAGCTCGAACATGGACTCAAGGTATCACAGGAGCGAGTGGGGACACGAACCAGACGCAGCAACGAACCGAAGGGGTCTGAGTTTTAGATGACTGGTGTTATCAAATGCATTTTCCTTTCTACTAGGACAGATCCTGATGCAATCGACCAAGATCATGCTTCGATGGTGTACCTTGTAGAAGACTTTAGCTCAGTCAAGGGTCGCTGGCTTGTTCTGTACGGACACTATCGATCTGGCACAACAGAGATTTGCCAGCCACTCGAGATACCCGCTAGATCCAAAAACGCACTAACGGATTCAAATATATGTTGCCTGCTTAAACAGAAGATTTTTCTTGAAATGATCGACTATTCAAGTGCTCTTAGGCATGAAACATCTTTTTGCTCGATGCCTTGCAACACCAACACTGCGTGAGATATGTCAGCAAGCAGATCTTACACGAAGCATCCATAGAAAGGAATTGAAGTGAATGATGTACCTGCACGGTCATTTGTACGCTGGGATCGGAACTTGAGGCAATCCAGCAGTCGGCATCGTTTTGGCCGGACCCAGCAGGGCAGGGAAACCCGCCAAGCTTGCCCTTTGCTTCACAGTCTGCCGTTGAGTCCTGAAGGAAGCAAGATTAGATATGTTTGCGAACCGTGACAGCTTAATGTTCGGACTAACACAGTTTACTGTCTCTGGCTGGCATGTCACAGGTGTGATACCGTTGTTCTGGGCAATCGATCCTGTGGCAAGGAAGGAAAGCAGCGTGATGCTTACGGCGAATGAACGCATGGCCTTCTGGGTTTAGTCTGGGTGATTGATGGTGTCTGGTAGAATAATCTTAGGTACTTGACTATGTGTCTTGGCTGAGTCGTGATCCTAAGTTTCGAATAATTCACAAGATTGTGTTCAATAGGCGTATTCCGTTGGTGGATTGAGGACCTCTTTATCTACAAATTTCGGACACTTAAGGTTGTGTTTAGATATTGCGATCTACGTCAATGATGCTAGTTTGGGGCGATTTGACGTCGTTTTCAAACCAGAGACTTAATCAATTTCTGACAGTGAGCTCTTGAGCAGGCCTCGAAGGGACGGCGAAGCCTTCATAGGGCTGCTGGATATTATAGAATATTCTCCACGCCAAGCGGGCTATCAATCGTTCATAGGCTTAAGCAGGGGCCCATGTATGAGTTTTCTGAAAGGTAATTGGGTAAGTTAGGGAGGGACATCAACTTTTGACTCGGTTTCGGCGGACGAAATTCTTCTTGAGTCAGGTTTCCCCAGTATTTTACTATAAATGACTTTTGCTTGAGCCACGGCCAAGACAATGCATCAGCTGATAGCCAGCAGGTGTCGGAAAGGCAGGCGTTCCCACGAATTCTCGCGCTGATGGTAGACTGGGACAACGGCTTCAAAGCTCTGATTCTTAGGTACCGGATATCGTGGGCAAGAAATGGGCAACCGGGCGATCTTTCCGTACCGACTGGTTGTACTGAATCAATGACTCTTAAGCTCGCTTCTTCAAAGGCCAAGCGAAGGCCCCCAACGAAGAGCAAAGCATGAAAGAGCCCAAGAACAAAATGAGCGACTCATAACGGCCCATCCCATACCCTCCGCTCACCGGCTTGGTTAATAATCCGGCAGTAATCGGGCCGGTGGCCAAGTTCCCGATGCCCTTGCCAAACGCCATCATGCTGTACACGGGCTGCGGGTCGTCGGAAAGCATCGCCCCAAACTTCGGCCAGTTGATGAGGAAGCCTCCAGCAAACATGCCAAAGACCAGTGCAAAGATGACTAACAGCGGCAGAGAGTGGGCGAATCCCCAGAGAGTGAAGGCCGCCACCGCCGACGTAAAAGAAGAGACGAAGATGAGCATAAAGACGTTGTTCGTGTGGTCGGAAAGCCATCCGAAACCAATCTGCCCGAAAACGGTTGCCAAGTTGTGCGCTGCCAAGAGAAGCGCCCCCATGGTACCAGAAAGTCCGATGGCACTAGCGTAAGAGGGCAGATACAAAGACGGGATGTAGTAAGCGAAACCCTGGAACAAGTTCGAGAGTGCGAAGCAGTAGAATAGGGGTTGTCTCAGGAAGCTGACGTCGAACATGCGCATGGCACCGTGAGGGGATGGCGGCAGTCGGCCCTTGATCATGTGCAGAATGGGCGCAACCCCAAGGAACTGAGCGACAGCTACAGCCCGGAGCGTAGTCTGGTATCCATACTTGGACAACAGTACTTGCAGCAGGAAAGGCATCCCAACACCGCTAAACCCGCCGCCGGCGTAAAGAACGCCATATGCAAGTCCGCGCCGGGCGACGAACCACTCGTTCAACATCCGCAACACCGGGAAGTAGAGCATCAAAAATCCAAAACCGTACAAGACACCCTGGGTTGCGATCAGACCCGCGATTGAGGTGGCAAAGGACGCGCCGACCAGAGACGCGACGCACATCGCCCAGCCGACGACGACCATGTGCTTCTGGTATCGGTGGAATCTTTTCACCACAGGCGCAGCGAGCGGCGCTCCGAGGAAATAGATACTCGTGGATACCGTGCCAATGACAGCGATATTGGAGTCACCCTCAAATTGTGGTTGGGAGGAATAGTATTCCTGAAAGACACCAAAGGTCAAGGGAAATCCTGGAAAAGTTAGTGACACCGCCCCGTCAGACTCTTTCGGAGAATTTAGGAAATACCCCATAGAAGTGCCTCAATAACGAAGCTGGAAAGCAAAAACTTCCATGCTGCAGCGCCCTTGTCGGTCGGCGGCATAGTGTGGATCAAGGTGTTTCCGTCTTCCTCATCACTCTGCGGCGCCGAGGCAACCGCGCCAGAGTTCGGCATCGGGCGCAGTTCAACCGACATCTTGACTGAAGCACCGGGACGTTGAAGATGCGTCGTTCAGTACAGGCCTTCCGTCAAAACGCTTTCGAGATGCACCTTGAATTTCTTTACATCCCCCGTGGGGTAGTCTAGGTTTTTATGACAAAGAGTCTTGAAAAACCGACACCGGTGCCGGACCGGGACGGCTTCCGGTTGTGGGGTAGCAACACTGGGTCAAGAGTCATTTTCACACGAAAGGGCGCACGCCTTTCCTAGTTGGTGAGGTACTTTGGTCGTTTCGAGTTATGCGGTCTAATAAGTTTCGTAAAAGTTATTGTATTGTGCGTAAGAGGATTGAGGTCTTGGACTTTCTGTTCTTCGTGTTCTCTACCGCTGTTTATTGGGTTTTGTTACGATAGTCGTCGGAGTTTTGGTGAATTCAATTTGAGTTGAACAGAACTCGGATTTCGAACCAGAAAATCTCCCTTATCACGTCAACCACCAATCGACTGTTCAAGTGATATTTCGACACTCTCTGGTGCGAGATATTTGGGTGACTATTTGAATTATCTGCCCCGAGGCATGGCCCAATCGCTCTTTCAGGTCGGCGGCGGACTTGGACATTGTACTTCACAAACGCGTTCTGCCAGTTGACAGAGACACCACTATACTCTATTTAAGCAGCAAGTTTCGGAGGACACTTCTCAGCGTTGAATCAACAAGATGGTGTGCTATGAATCATACTGAGTAATGGGATCTGCGTGCCTCCAATTGGTTAAAACACCAGTCCCGCAATCCTACAATGTGCCCGATGCAGTAACGTAAGCTCGCTGGCCGACATGACGCATTGGACCCTTATTCTTCGGGCGCAGGGGTCCTTGCACTGTCAAACGACGCCCTTTGGAGGTTTCCCCAATGAATAAGGTACATCCACCAACTCAACTCATCAACCCACATATTTGTTTAATATTCGTTTACAATACAGAGCTCGATGGAAAAATAAATAGAGAGGCGCACACACTGGTTTCGGGGTTTGAGCTACGAAAGTCGCGCGCATCCTGATCAGAGGATTTACTGCCGAGTCATTTGGATTTTGCAAGTTTCAGCACAACTTCACGAGTCACATCCTAGTGCTCCATCGCCGCCACGACATCCCATCGACTAATTCAGCCTCAGCATGACAAAGACAAGCCTTTTCGAAGACTATGTGGTCACCGATAGAGGCGGCGTGATCGAAAATAGACATGCAGTCCACGCTGCAGTCGTCGACGCTGATGGCAAGGTCCTCTATGCAGTCGGCAATCCTTCACGAATGACGCTGGCTCGCTCCGCATCTAAGCCAGCGCAAGCTCTCGCAGTGCTTGAAACCCCAGGCTTCGACAAGTACGGCTTCGACGGAGCTGATATAGCTTTGATGTGTGCATCTCACAACAGCGAAGACCGGCACGTCTCGAGGGCAAAGTCAATGTTATCCAAGGTTGGGGCGCAAGAGTCGGACTTGCGGTGCGGCGGTCACCCTTCAATCTGTCCAGTCGTGGATAGGTCCTGGATCAGGGTTGGATATACGCCAACCGAGATTAACAACAATTGCTCTGGTAAACATGCGGGCATGTTGGGCGGCGCGGAGGCTCTAGGTGCGAGTTTCGAAGACTATCACCTCCCTAGCCATCCGATCCAAGAAAAGGTGAAGCAGGTTGTTGAAGACTTGAGCGGGCTTGACGGTGACGAGATCAAGTGGGCCATTGACGGCTGCAATCTTCCTGCACCCGGGCAACCTCTCTATTCGATGGGTCGCATGTATGCTGCCTTTGCCGCCGCCGCGGATGCTAATGAAGAGGACGGAAGCGTCCAACCGGTGAGAGTGAAACATATGTCCGATATCTACAACGCCATGGCGACGTACCCTGAGATGGTCGGCGGAGAGGGGCGTTTCTGCACTATCCTAATGGAAGCGTTCGAAGGCAGTCTTATCGGCAAAGTTGGCGCAGACGGATGTTACACCATCGGTATCCGCGCATCAGGGTCCACGAGGAAGCTTGGCGCGGAGGGGGCCGTTGGCATTGCAGTTAAAATCGAGGACGGGAGCCTCGAAATCCTCTATGCTGCTGTTCCTGAGATACTGGATCAGCTTCGAATTGGGACGCCAGAGATGCGACGTAAATTGGTGAGCTTCCATCACTTGAAGCGTACCAACACCATGGGTGTTGAGACGGGTCAGGTCACACACGCCTTCAGCGTTCGCCGTGTCGATTGAGTTGTATTACGGGCCCTTTTCAGTGGTGGTGTACTTCTCAAAATGGTAGCGATGGATTGATAATAGTCATAGAGGGTTGCTTTCTCTCACTGGATGATACAGCAAGATAGATGAGTTCATATTACCAAGCAATTGCGGGGTGACTCACTTTCACCTATTATGAACATGAATACCTCCTCAGTGAAGTGAGGTTGTATCCCAATGTCTTTCCTCCATTGAGTGAAACCAGCGGCCCGGGTTTAAGCCTGGGGATGCAGAATCTGAGGGACTGAAGTTAGGCCGACTGAAGTAAGCAAAGCTTCGCAATCACATACCGAAACATGTGTGCCTAGCGCTTACTGGCACTGCACTAGAATGCCCCTCGTCTTATTCCCGTTTGCTGCGCGCGTGGGTGAGTCGATGCATCCCCGCACGCCATGGTACCTACTTGAGGAGCCACTGAAGACCAAAGTAAGGGAAGTGATGTAGTAATCACATGCGTCTTGCTTGGCCTTGAGTGCCAGTATAAACTGGATCACACCCTGTCACCGGCAGTGATAACACGTCCACACGATCAGCGGGCTTTTCTGCGAATCTCGTAGATTGGCAGTAATCTGAGGGTCTGGACTGGCGAAATTCAGGTGTTTGTTAATCATGGTCGACGGGAAAGCCTCGAGACTACCGCCAAGCCCAAGGGGCTTACTTAGGTCATGATGCTATACGAAACTCGCAGATGATCTATATATCCAACGCTTCCCCCTCATCCGCTTGAATTCAATTCTTCTTCCATAATCATATTGTTTTCGACCATTTATTACACAGTAAGTCATCGAAATTACCTCATTTACATCACACATCATGTCTTCCATCGCCAGAGATGACAAGACCTCACCGTCATTCATCCCTCTTGCCGGCGTAGCTCAGGACGGCTGGTCAACGGAGAATGAAGCAACGGCAACGTGCCTCTGTGGCGCCGTTCAGCTCTCATTTGTAAGATTTCACATCAATTCATCCCATAACACCAACCCAAAGCCCAAGAATCATCGCACTAACAGCCCCTATCAGCCAACCCAAGGCCGCGGCCTCCTCAATCGCTTCATCTGTCACTGCACAGACTGCCGTAAAATCTCCTCCTCAATGTTTTGCTCCAACTTCTCCGTTGCCGACAGCCACCTGCGCCACATCCGCGGTAAGGAGAACCTGAAGTCTTTCAGCCAGTCTCGAACCATCGCGACTGGCAACGATATGGCAAATCACTTCTGCGGCACCTGTGGCACGCTCATGTACCGCGTCAGCTCCGGTCTACCAGGTATGAGCATTCTCAGGCTCGGTACTGTCGATGATTTCCGCCTCGTGGAGACGAAGCTCAGGCCGCAGGTCGAGCAGTTTATCGACACGCGCGCATCTTGGTTGAAGCCGGTTGAGGGCGTCATGCAGTTGGATCGGATGCTTACAGCACAAGACATCAAGAGTCTCTTATAGATGATCCATATTATTGACTATGTTTAATGCTGCTCAATTTGAACGTCCATGTGTACTGACATGGAAAGGCAGCGGCCTCAAAAGTCCAGACTAATCGAAAATTTGTACACATTAGATCAAAGCCCGTATCTCCCAGTGGTATCATACTGCTACATGCTCTTCCCTCTTCACAATTTCACCGGTCTTCTGATTCTTCAGGTAGAAATGCACCTTTTTCCGTGGCGGAATCGTGGCTTCCGGCGGTTCTCGAAAGTTCATCGCAACTATTCGTCTCTCTTCGGGCACGAATCCACCACTGCCTTCATCAGAGGTATCGAAGGCGTCCAACTCGATGATATCGCCGAGAGCGATATTATGCTCAATCTCAACCACCCGCTTTGCGATAGACCATGTCAAATTCCTCTCCCAAATATTCCTTTCGGGCTGCATGAGCTTCTTCATCAACCTTAGGGCCTCGAGTCGCAGCCTTAGGTGGCGGCACCTGATGACCACCATGAAGAGGAGAGAGCTATAGCCGAGCTCGAGGACGCTTTCGGTTCCCCAGCCTGCTGAGGACTTGGACGCCTCTGAAGGGCCTTCCGCTTGTGATGCCAGAACGACGATGGCGCGGAATTTGTCCGTGTGCGCATCATATACGCACTCGCCTTCGTCTTTCTTTTCAGAAGCCAAAAGGGCAATCCTGGCCACGAGATAACGAATGTCTAGCAACCGTATCATGTCCTCCTCCTTGCTGGTATACCTCTCCTCTTTCTTCATCTCCCTGTATGCCTTGTACCATGCATCTAGATCAATGAGGATGAATTGTCGAAGCCATTTCGCGTCTGGTTCTGGACCTTCCTTTCCGGTCTCAAGCCAGCGGTCGGTAATACACGCACATTCCATGTGCCGGACAAGGCGTACGTGAATCGTCAAGAGTCGAGCGTGAGCTTCTGCGACATTCTGGATCCGGTTGGTCGAGGTCGATACGGGTTGGCGCACTGTTGGAAAGGTCGTTGGGTTGATACCGTATCGGTATGGCGCGATGCTAAGCTGCCGCATGACTGGTGTGATGTGGTTCCGCAGAAAGTCAGACTCATTATGTATCTCATTCAGGATGTTGATCCCGTGCCGGCAGTGAGTAGTGGCGTCTTTTGGGTTCCGACGGATCAGCTCTATGTAGATGAAAAGCACACAGACGAAGAGAATCAGCGCGCGGTCTGTCGTTGTGCGGAGGAGCTTGATCGCCTCGTTGTAGTGCCACACAGCAAAGGAGCTTGCTTCCCATGATCCGTTGCTGAATGTCTCGTACACGGAGCTGAGCGCCAGCACAGCATGGCTGGCCACAGGTTCTTGGTCCGACATTTGGATCACGACATTAGTCCAGAAGTATGAGTTGAGTGACCCAGCAAAGGCCGGCGCCGTAACCTTGCGGTAAAAGTCCATCGTCCGCTCGGCGTAGACAATGCTGGCTCTGGTCTGCTGTGAAGCCCGAATCGAAGTTGCGTTGTTCACGGGGCATGATCTCAAGAGTTGCGCCCAGGAGTACGTCGTCGTCGGCGGGGAGATATAACCGTCACATTTGCGGCCGGTGGAGATGCATCTCGCGCAGGATGGACGCGCCTCGTCGCATTTGATTCGTCGGATCTTGCAGGTTGTACAACCCGTCTTTACTCTTTGTGTGCCTATTCGGGCCATTGCGGTGGTCCACTCAAAGGTTGACTAGATGGCCGTGATAGTTCAGGCGTGAAGCCATTCCATTACATCCAGCCGTTTCAACTAGGTCGTCCAACGAGAGGTGCGATATTGGTCCAGCTGAAAACACAAAGAGTGATAATGCGGGGGGGACGTACTCGTTATATCAATCATATAGATCTAATGATAAATAACCGGGGGCAACACAGATCCTGTGTAGAACAGATTAACTTGTCAAGGCTTGGAGATCAATCTTAGACTTCGAGGTTTAAGCAGCTGACCTGAACTAGCCGCTTGAACCAACATCCGCAACAGCCAAGTGTTGGCAGCGGGTCTGGGGGAGTATTGGTTTCGAAACGAGATTTCTGGGGATTTCAAAGAGCTTAGACAAGTTCGGATGCCGTGGGGCATTTAACGAACACACCAATAGGTAGTTTGTAAACACCAAAAGCTTACCTGCCCGTGCCAGACTTGGTTTTTTGAGATGAAACTGTTCGGCTATCGGCGGCGTGCCAAATGGGAACAATATGTTGACAATTGATAGAACCTTGACTGTCAGTAGAGAAGTATGGGGTCGTGTGTAGAGCTGACATCCTGCAATATGCATGATTCGAAGTTCAAAATCACTGGTGAGGTTCATGTAGCGATTCGAGAACGCTGAGTACGTGCAAGAATGAGGAAACTAGAATTGCGAAGTGAAATTAGTTTCTGACTCTGCAGCTTAGGAACATGGTCTGGGGAAGCATAGACAAACCTAGCTGATCGTAGGGCTGAAGGACCAAGCAGCCGGTATGCACAATAAAGTGCAGTAGCGTACAACCCTAATGGACGAGCCGCGATATGTGGAAGTGTTCACCGCTCACCTTGCCGGGGTGAGGCGCTCACCGATCAGCCCGCACTCACCGGGGGATCGATGGTCCAGACCGCCATAGACCGTAGAATGCATTTGGACTGGTGCAAGACCGAAGCGAGCCAACAAAAAGCTCCCCTGAGAATAGACCAATTACAGCTAAGCTTCCTTCGGAAGCCTCCGGCCTGAGCACCGCCGCCCTTGTTGCGATTTCCCTCCCCCCCTTCACCGCATTTCTTCAACAACACCCCGCCACCATTCCTGCAATTGCCACCTCCCATCCATCGTCCGCGGGTGTTCCCTCGAGCAGGTTCGGAAATGACCTGATACGCGTGGCGACTGCCGTCGAAATGCCACCCAATCGAACCCATCCAACATGTCGCCGTTTCGCCCGCTGCGGCCGCGGCCATTAGCCGAAGGGTCACCGGCCAACCTACGGCAGAACCCCGATTCCAATCCTGATCCCAATGCCGAGCCCGGTACCGGTACCGTACGCGGTCCCGGCCTTGGGCCTGGTCGACCTAACATCAGCCTTCGCCGTCCTGCGCGGCCACGCAAGACCAACATCGCCTGTGATCCGTGCCGGAGGCGAAAGACAAAGGTGGGCCTTGGCCTCCCCTGTCTTGCGTTTGCCCTGCGGCGTTGTTTCTCGACGTGCCAATCAGTTTACATGCTTTGGATCCCTCCGCAAGGTGCTAATTGCCGTCTTGATAGTGCGATGGACGGCTCCCACGATGTGTTATGTGTGATCACCGAACGGAAAATTGCGAATACACCTATACCGTCCGACATCGTGTAACTCTTGCCGAAGTGGAGCAGTCCAAACGAGGTGGCCCTGCCGAGATACTCGAATCTCTTCGAACACTTCCGCCAGAACAAGCCCTCGAATTGTTTCGCAAACTACGCAACGAGACGCCCGGACGTGCTTTGAATCTTGCACGCCCATCCGATCAGCAACACCTTAGAGGCCTTCTCCCACCCACGCAGAACAGCCTTGGTTTCGAATTGACGATTCGACACCCTGTGGCATATCCTGCCCTGTTCCCGGTGCCGTACACGGACTTGACTCTCGGAGCCTTACTCCAGCCTGTGACGAAGGCATGGTTGCAAGGGCAGCAGGGGCAGCAAGATGCGTATGTCAATCTTATCAATTCTCTAATACAGATCCTCATTGTCAGGGGAGCCTGTGAACGTACCTTCAACCGGCACTGCCATCACAAGATGGCTCGAGGCTCGACCGAATGCCACCATGGCGTACTGACTTATAAGTCACAGGTCTTCAAGACAGGTCTCCCCTTTCGGGGGTCCATACCTGACTCCCGAGCGAGATGAGGACGCAAGTTCAGGATCAAAAACCGGTTCACCTGATCATACAGGGGCTGTGAATCCCAAACCACTCTTCGACGAACGATTACGTCTGCTTGATGTCAGCAAGTGGACAAACATCCCTATACCGAACGACCTTGCCATCAGTGTTATATCGCACTATCTTGACATTGATTACGCTACGATACCCCTTTTCGACGCCGACCTGTTTGTACGAGATTTGGTTAATGTTCAACATTTCTTTTGCTCTCCGTTTCTTGTCACTGCCGTGTTGAGTTGGGCATGTGTATGTTGCCCATCATCCCCATTGCAATCATCAGGTGCTGACACAAACAGCAAGCATATACGACCCTCCATACCGATGCCGCCGCTTTCAGTGTAGCTCTTTTCGCGGAATCTCAGCAGTACTTCTCTGATCAGCAGCAACCCAATAGCGTTACAACAGTCGCTGCACTTCAAATCCTAAGCATGTGCGCCGTGACGTACGGCAAAGATGACATGAGTCTTCGGTTCCTACAAGAAAGTGTCAGGTTGGGTAAAGCGATGGGCCTCTTCAATGTTCAGTCCGAGGCCGAATCTGCGACCGTCTGGCTTGGCGGCCATACAGAGTGGACGAGAGCGGCGTCATACACGGCCTGGGGCGTTTACAATTGGGTATCGTGAGTAGCCTTTACCCTATAAACGTTGCTATTGAGAGACGCCTCTAACCCACGTAGGGTATATTCCCTCCACTACCGCGTCCACGAAATCCACACACCGCCGTTGCTGCCGATGCCTAGAGATCTGGTCTTATTTCTACCAAGCGACGATCCGAGGTCAGCCAAGACCGCATTCCATGCCCAGCTCCTCAGTGCCGCGAGCGATATGTGGGTTATCTTCAAGGACATACTGGAAAGATTCTACGGCCCTCAATACCACAGCGCCACGCTCGAGTCGACACTGAGATTCGCAGAAGGGACATATCACCGTCTACTTTGCTGGTCTGGCGCACTCTCTCTGGATATGGCAAGAGGCGAAGAAAGTAACCACAGCGTCATGCTATTGCAGTACGTCTGGCCTAGACCTGAATCCCATGATGCGTTTCGACTAACATTGGCCCAACAGCGTTTACTTCCACGCCGTGGTAACCGATCTATTCCGTCCTTTCCTCGCAACCGAGTACAAATCACAGCGCCTCTACTCCTTCAGCACACAGCACGCTACCCCCGAAGCAGTCTATGCCTCGTCCATTACACAGCTCAAGCGACTACTCCTGCTCTACCGCCTGAGATACAAGAACGCGAATTACTCCGTCCTCTGGCAGACTGCAGTCGTCTACGTCGCCAACGCCATGATCCAAGAAGGGGGACTATCACTACGGGCTGACGGCCAACCCGGAAATGAATGGAAGTTCTATTTGGACGTCTGCCTCGCAGGCCTAGAGGACTTGTACGCGTCGTTCCCCGTCTTTGGGTCAATCGCCCAGGGCATGGTGGGCATGGCGCTGCGACACTCGGCGATACGAACAAACAAGGCCACCCGCGTCCTGGCGCAACTCGATGATATCGAGCGGCGGCACGCATCTCTCAAAGGCATGACGGACAAGACGGAGGCGCGGTGGATCATCGACTTGAACCTTGCGACGACTGATTTCGAGGGTGCTCAAGCTCGCAACCTCGTCGAAGAGCTTCAGAAGTTGATGGTTGAGCAGACCGAGTCTGAGAATCTGGGTGATGATGGAAAACAATGAGGCGTTTATACCGTGACTTTTCGAGCTGTCCATGGGAAATGCACCGACACGGATCTACTTTTTGCGGTATTGAACTTCTTGCCGTAGAAAAATATCACCTCATCCTCGACAATCTTTGTCGTTCTAACGCAATATATCAATCAAGACTTTCTGCGATACACGGTGTGGGAACTTGATAAGTGATAAATTGGGAAGGCAGCTCTGTATTGAAGCGTAGCTGATACAGACAACAAGAGCCCTTCATTGAACAATTCGGAAGAGTTTTGGATCATGTTGATGACCGCGACTACTTGGTTTGATGTGACGCTGCGCTGTCCGTGAAAAGAACATGCTGGTGTTCTGTAGAAAATCATGGGAAGCAGCACTAGGGGAAGACATCGCGTAAATCACCCGGCATGTATTCTTTTCTCACTGGTTACGGAGCTTGTGTTATATTGCATCTCGATGAGGAAGCTTATGGAGTGAACAGGTAGTTCTGGAAGAGCCAAATCAAAGGTCTCGGGGAGGCAGACAGGGAAATGTCGGCAGAAAACCATCTTGATCTGTTCCGCCCGCATCTCAGTGATCTCTCCCCCTCCAAAACCTTCCAAGCATCTTCAAAGAGACGCATAGTCTAAGGAAGGTCATCAACGACGTGTCTTCGAGATATCGTACAGCTTGGCGTCCCTCGAACGTACGAATCATCCTCACGAGATTGATTCGCGTATCTTGCTAGTGGCCTTTGAAACAGTTAGTGTTGATTCGGTTTCGGAGGAAGGAATTCTCTAGCCAGTGTAGCCAAATCACCGGAGGAAGTAAGAGTCGGACTCAGGGGACAGCTCACCACTATGATCATCGCATCATTGATCACTGTCGACATCGCCTCTGTAAGGCTCTCCGTAGAGCCTAGCCCACCTTTGCTTTGCCTCCTCGTCCAAAGGCCGACCTTGGATGTGCCCGCCAAACAACATCAACCTATCCCAGTAGTCAAAGCACCGCGAACTAAACATCAACTTCATGGTCAGCTCAAACACTGGCTCGGTGCCATCCCTCCCAATGTGAGTGACTAGCCAGGTAAACGTGGTTAAAACGTTGGAAAGCTCTCCATCCACCGTTCGAATAGCGGCAATTGCGTCGTCAGAAGATCGGCCAACGTTGCCATCATCGCCTGTAGTCACGTCGACGCCCAATAATTCTGCGCAAGAGGCAATAAGTCGATCGGCGTGTACGTCGCCCGTCTTCTAAGCGGACGCCGCTTCGTTCCAAATCCTCATCGTCTCGTTGCGCGTCGGAAGTAGACAGTCTTCGAAGGCCTTTCGCACCTGAGCCTTTCCCAGATCTTCATTGTCGATGTTGATGCGAGTTTTGAGTTCTCGAGCACATTTGGCCACATGCTCTCCGTCAGCTAGATCTATATGGAGTAATCTGTGAAGAGTGCGACGATCGATCTTGGAGATGCGATCGGCATCGGCGGCGTCGAACTCAGCAATCAGCTTTTGAAGATCGATCCCTCCGGGTAATTTGCGTCTTGCGGCAGGCTGATTTTCTAACCCAGGCCACGTGAGATGGCCATCTAGGTCTAATGTGACGGACTTGTCGATGAGCCCTGCGTTCTGACCCTGTCGGATCTTTTTGATAAAGACTTTGTAGTAGTCCTTGGTGTCTTGGATACTCTTGTCAAGTGGGATGCATGGACCGGAGGGACTACCGACATTTCTGTCCTCGGCTTCGAGCTCATATGACACCTGCGTATCCCCATTGTCCGGGTCAGAATATGAGTCGAAAGTCACCGCCTCAGACCAGGGCGATCGAACCGACATCTTTGGCGCTGACCATATCTGATGATCGAGTTGATCCTGATAGGGCTCCAGGGCCTTGAGGCAAATCTCTTCATCGGCCATAGGACGCCAAAGATTGGGGTTGGACTGAACGTGCTTTGGAAGGAATAAACCATGCATCAGCGTATCCCTCGTCCTCCTGCCCATGTTAGGCCACTTTTCATTAGTGTACCCAGCGAAACCCAAAGTGTAGATGTCGGGCATCATCAGCAGGGCGGTGAGCTCTGGGGAGGGCGGTGCTCGAGTTCCATGGTTCAGAGGCATGGTAATTTCTGATCCTTCCCAAGAAGGGGGCACGATCTCTAGCCAGTCCTCCTCGTCAAGTTCCATCTCATCAATGTACTTGAAAACAACATCGGTATTGATGTCCTCGTCGTTGATCACGAAGGCGTCAAGCTTCCTATCGTTGCCGTAAAAGTAGTCCACGGCGCGAAAGATGTGGACGTAGGCCGAGAGCTTGAGTTCCTCGTGGATCCGAAAGTAGTGCGGCCCATACAATATCATCTGGGCAAGCGAAACCAAAGGAACAGGCTTCATGGGCTTCTTCGCCCCCTTCTCGGCTCCTAGATCAAGAGCGTGGTAGCAGTCATGATAAATGATGGCTAAGATCAAGGCAAGGATTGGAGACACAATATCTTGCTCGTACTTGGCAAGGAACGCGTCAATTTCACTCATGAGACCTTTTGGGATGCTTATTCCCTGCATCTTCGGCATCATCAGTCTAAAGTGCCTCCACTTGTCCTCTCTCGTGTCAGATATGGCGGCGTAATCGGGCATAGTTTCTGCAGAGGCCACGAGTAAAGGACAGGTGTGGCCCGCAGCGAAGGCATCCTGCTGTTGTTTCTTGTATTCCGCTAACTCATTCTCTGGTACGGCTCGGAACTTGCTCCCGTAGCCTTGTTCCCTCGACAAGTGCTTCAGAAAGAGTACCTGATTGGGGCGAAGCATATCGACGGGCGGGATGATGAGACACGGAAGCGTCATGCTCGAGCCTGTGCGGGCAATGTATTCGTAGGTATTGTTTTTCAGCGAGCTCACCGCGACGCTGCGAGTGAATGCGGGCGTGAAGTCGGTCGCATTGATGCCGACGTAGTAAGAGTCAATCGTGAGCGGTTTGTCAATCGTGTACCGTCGATGACACCGTTTGAGTAGGGTAACGATGATGAAATTGCCGGGGTCGTTGAGGAAGACCACCTTTTCTGGATCATCTTGGGAAGAGGTGTAGCCATCGGTTGAGTTGTCTGGTGAGAATTGACGATCTTAAAGCTTGAAAAGAGTGCCGGCGAGTTGGATGGGTTTCGGCAGCCCATTGTCCTCTTCATTCTTGACGGCATCGGCTTCACCATCGTGCCGGTGGCGTGCGACAGCACCCTCCATGGTAGTGCTCTGGGGCCGAAAGAATGGGCTTCCGTATGATACCTGCCGGGAATTTGAGGACCCACCGTCGAGAAGTCGGCGTGGCGGTTGAGGGGAGAGGTAGAGAACTTCGGGAAGCAACAGAAGAGGCAGATTTGAAGATGGGATGCCTATCATGTGGGAGAGGCAGTCGCGAGTGCGCAAGCTTTTGCGTAGGTTGAGTTTGACACGATATTTGAGTGGGCAAAAGGAAAGAAAGCATGCAGACTGCAATTGAAGGAAAGGCCGCGGTCTCCTTTATATGAATACAAGGCAGGAAGCGATGGAGACTTGGCCGAGGGAAGGTACCCAAGGTACCTTCGGTATTCGAGATGATGAGGTCAGTGAAGGAAAGAACAATTCAGAAGGTAAAGTAAGATGTATGTACAAAGGAAAGACCTACGCGAGCTTTGCTGCCTCGTAGTGGGAGTATTGAGTTTTCCGAGTTATTCTGGAGTGTCTTTCGAAGCTAAAAACAATTTCTTTGGGCATGGCCATTCTCATGCTGCGGCACCGGAAGGTTTGCAGTAAGTCAAGGACCTACTATGCTCAAGTTGTACTGAATCATTTCCAACTGTTCAATACCGAAAGGGAAAACGGGATGCGGGCGGCTTCAGATATTTGAATATGCTCTCCACGAGATCTACCTACCTACCCAAGGCTGACTTCCTCGCCTAGGTACCTCAGATGGGATCAGCTTCGGCATCATCAACAATAAGCTCCTCCTCCTTCTCTTCGACCTTCACCTTCTCAGCCCCCAGCACACTCTCACCTTCATGCTCCGGTCCCTCTCCCTCCCGCCAAGCTTCAGGCCCAAGATACGTCCTCGGCCAAATATTCATCGCAGTCTTCAGCCCATCCCCAACAGGCAACCCAGCATGCACGACCCTCCCATCCCCCGTCCCATTCTCATGCAAATTCACCCAAAACACTGCATTCCCCCTCACAGGTTTGAACGCGATGCCACCATCATTGTGCTTCCTCCACATAGTCCCTTCATCATCCAGCCTCCGATGCTGCGGCGTAACAACCTCAATCTTGGGAAACCACGTCTCGCCACCCGTACACTCGTCCTCCAAGATCGCAAAGAAGCTCGCCACCCGGTTCCACTTCCTTCTCCGTCCTGTCCTAACATCAGGTTGGAAATCATCGTACCAGTCGTGGTGGACGTTGAATCTCTGGCCCTTTGTATACCGCACCAACTGGGGCGGTCCAATCTCGTCCCGCCCGGGCGCCATCATCGTGCCCAGGAACCCTTCCGCCCTGGCGAGCACGCATTGCACGGCGACATCGTCGGCAGGGAGACCAGCAGACCAGGAGGTTCTATCTGGCGTTCCTTGCGTTCTGCCATTCTTGACGACATAGGAGGGTTTGAAGGCTGGTTCGCCTGCTTCCAGGAGGGATGCGATGTCTGCTTCGGAGAGGAAGTTGTGGATGTAGATTACCAAGGGATCGAGGGAGACGATTTGCGTGGTGTAGTTTTGGGATTGGCAGGCGTAGGGCTCCGATGTCAAGATCTCGGGTTCAGAAAAGGCATCATCTGTCGGTGGGGAGAGGATCCTGTTCAGTGATGTTTGGAGACGGGAGGGGATATTGTGTTGTTGGATGTACGGGAGGGAGATTGCTACGAGAGCCGTGTAGGCCGATAGCCCGAGAATCTTGGTGATTGCACTCATGATGTATCACCCATCCGAAGCGCTTCTACACGATTAAGGTACAATGGCGACGATGAAGAGACGTCATGGAGGGACAGAAGACGGGGAGTCTGGGGGGGGTGGCATCTTCATTTAAGACGGCATCTCAGACCCTGTCCAGGGTCCTACACCTATCTACCTGGCTACTCCGATCTGGTTCATCTACTTCGAATCTGTCCCCAATCCGAGGTTCCGAATGCTGCCTCAGATAGATCAAATGGAGCGTCGTCCTCCGACTGGGCGGAGAAACTCTTTCTTCACCCGGACCGCATCCCGTACCCCGCATTTTTGGGGTAGCTGTGCCTCACCGAGCCCCGCCGAAACCACTTGGGGCACGGCTCTCGGTGAGACATCGGTGAAGGTTGATGCCTTCTACAAAATCGTATATCAAACGCTTGACCACCTTCGTATCAAGATTTTTATAGCAAACAAGCGACAAGTAAGAGAGGGCAATGTTCATCACATAATCCACTGCGTCCATACTATCAAGTGGAATTAAAAAAAAAAAAAAGAACGAGGGAAGGCGGAGAGGTACGAGGCGTGTGTCACAATGGCTCCTTTAGTCCCTGCGCAGCACCAAACTTGTCCTTCATCAAACGTCAAACATGGTGACAGCAGTCACACGGTCCGGACGAAAGGCATTGCTTTGTAGCTCCATACCTTACTATACATATATGCAATGCTCCCAGACCCACAGGCAGCAAGTTGGTCTTCAAAATGTTTCCCACAGTGGTATCCACGGCTTCCTATATACCAGGACAATACGCGTACAGCAAGACCCGGCATAGCAGTCTGCAAAGAAATCGAACAACTTCTTATTCGCCTTTTTGCACAATCGCATCCACTCCGCCCCAGTGCTGTACGAGAATCAGGGGGTATGGCGAATGGTTCCAGGAAATGCCAAAAGCTCCGTCGCAAAAAGATCCCTAAACCATGGTAGCAAACGCCACGCAGGAAATGCATCGTTAAATTCGCTCTCTGTCGCTCTAGATCTGGCTGTGTCGCGCACGCTTCCGAGCGCTTCCTTGAGATGATGATGGGTGCAGCTTGTCGTTCTTCTCCCTCTTGAGCTTGTCGTCGAGGACACGGGCTTTTGGTAGTTAGCATAGTCATTATTTTCACCGTATTCGAGCGCCGCCACATACTAAGCACGTCGTATCCGAACTGGGGGTACTCCAAGCACAGAGAGCGGAACTCGTCCTCGGCCTCGGAGCGGAGGGTATGCGAGCGCATGGCCCAGAACTGTGCGACGGGAGCGCGGATGGTGGTGTCGTCCTTGCCAGTGTAGGCGTAGACGTAGCGGGCGTAGGCGATCTCGCCCTTGGCCGTCGAGTTGACGCAGTGGATCTTGGAACTGGCGAGCGAGCGGAGACTTGGGACACCGAACTTCTCAGCCAGGGTGTAAACGCGCGCGTGCTTCAGCAGCTGCGTGCCGTCTGCATCGACTTCGGGAGTCGAGGGGTCTTGCTCGAGTGTGCGCGAACCGGCAACCTTGCGGGGGAAGTACTCTCCTGTGTAGAGGAACTCGAGGAAGCATCCGACCGCGTCGAGGTCTTCACCAACGAGCTCGACTTGGCGCGGCTGTTGCGCATTGAGTCAGTAACGTCGGGGAAATGCAGAATGCGCCGGGTGAATGCCGCAACGTGGGAGGACCACTTACGCTACCATCGTCGCTGAACTGGGCGCAGGCCTCCTTGAAGAAGGGGCTTTGCATCAGAAGCGCCTGATGAGCTGTAACAATTGCTTCCGACTCGCCCTGCCCGACCAAGAGGGTGACGACGGGGCTGGACAGGTAGCTGACGAAAGTGGTGCGCGGCTCGACGGGGTCGCTCTCGCCGCCCTCGGCAAAGGGGAGTTCCTCAGCGTTGGCATCGCCCTCCTCGGCCATCTCGACGTCGGCGCCAGGATTGGCAGGGGCGTCCTCAACAATCTCGACGTCGTTGTTGAATTCTTCGGCCATTGTAACTGGTTCGGTCGCGAGTGTGCCTGATTTTACTTGAGAGAGTGATTCGATCAGACTGCGTCGGGCAGCACGGTTTGTCGCGACAGCAATCGGTCAATTGATCGCGTAGACGTTTGGAAAAGATCGGGCGCGTAAAGACAGGCGTAAAAGAACGTGGCGGGCGTCAATGTCTAGATTGAATTGAGATTGAATCAACGACAAGCGGGAGTTGGGAAGAGAAAGTCTGTCCAGGTTCCAGATTGGGGGGGGGGGGGCACGGGCGAGGCGGCGGAGCTCTGAGCTTCAAGGTAAGGGAAGGTAGGGAACCAAGCTGGCTGCAGCTGCCTCCGCCATGCGCACGGTACCCGTTAGAAGCGGGTCTGAGGGTTCCGTTCCTTTTCCACAGGCAACATGCGACTCTGGGCAGGCACACCCTATCCAACTTGCAGACTTTCTCCAGTGAGTGTTCCTGCCAAGCGTAACGCGACGCGATACCTTGATACAGGTACCCAAGTAACCTATCGATAAGCTTTAATTTGATCGCCATTTATCGATGAGCCACTTTTCGCACGCGATCCCTTGTAGGTAGGTAAGGTAGGTAATTGGGTTGAGGCACATGTCATCGCATCTTAGATCCCTACCTCTATCCAGGAAGAAACAGCAGTTGAGACGAAAGTCAATGTTCATATTGTCGCGTGGCGGCATTCGCATTCAGAGAACAGTAAACTTGTCAACAAAGTCGATTGCCAAGGGATTGTTAAAGATTACACCAGTACCCACCACCATCGTCGTCTTCAACTCAAGCAAAAGGAGCCTCAAAAGTTATATTCAACACCAAGGAGATAGCCCCGCTCCATTAAGAGTGTACTTTGTACCATGAAGCGAATCGGTATCAGACGTAACATACCCAGAAGTACACCGTTGCAATGCAATGTGATGATGCGCTCTTGCTCTTTCAAATGCCACAACCATGCTGCAAACACAGTGACCTATCCCATTGCCCTCAGGTCTTCTCATTATGCCCTCCTCATTTCCATTGGTTTTCCTGTCCGGAGTGCGCCGACTCTCTAGGCTTCCTGTTCAACGACAAATTCGGTATACTGGGATGTATGAGCCTCAATGGCTGCTCCTGCTTCAAAACCTCCCAGTGCTTCTTCAGCGTATCTTCTCTGACCACCAGCTCAAAGTTCGCCAGGAAGCAAAAACTAATCTCCAAGCGCGCCAACTCGACGTCGCTAACGCCTCCAACTTTGGCAATCTTGCTGTGCGGGTAGCTGAGGTCTTCCAACGCCTTCATTGCCACCCGAAGTCCCGCTAGAACCAATCGATGCGCATTCCGCCGCGTCACAGGAATCGCTCGTTCGTCAACGGCTAAGCGGTGGATATACAGGCTAGTAGCAAGGTACACAGCAGTGCTCATCGGGCACCATTGGTGGATTCGCGCTAGATATTCGTCGATACCAATGGGCGGCGGTTTCTTAGAGTAGAACTTGCGCGTGATTGCACTATGCTGAAGATTAATCGGCTGCGAGTTCTCCCCAATTATTATATGTGGTTCGGGTGCTTTCGGTGGCGGTGGTGGTGTCGGCGATTGTGTCTGCCGCAGATGGACACCGTCTATTAATTGTGGTGTCGAGCTACTCGAGCCGCTCATCTGGGACATCATCGGTGGTCGACGAGGCGAAGACGCTGAAGCTGCGGCTGCAGCCTCAGCCTCCTTGCGCATGCGAGCCAGGTTCTTTTGTGAGCTTGTGCGAATGAGCTCCTTCTCTGCCGCCATTCCTCGCATATTGGGTAGTGTCGGGCTTGTAGGAGGTGGTGTTGGAGGAATATCGCCTGTTATCTTCACGAGAGCCTCGATTCCACCACTCAAGAGCTTCATCGCCGCCCTAGGCGATAACTTGAAGACGTCGGTGTTTTCGGGGACATTCGGAGGGCTATCGCAGTCGGCAACGCTGAGTCGCGGATCGGACGAAGGGTTCGGCGGCGGCGGAAGGTCGGGGACGGCGCTCGCGTTCGAGTCTGTCTGCTCCAGAGGCAGGCCCTCCTCACCAGGCTTCGGAGTCATCCCTGCGGTGCTTTGGTGTTGGTCCTGGGGGACACACCGGGGATGGTTATAAGGCGACAATGACGTCGGGTTAGGGTACGAGAGTAGTGTCTCGGTGTGTTCGGCGTGGGCAACAGCGAGCATCTAACGCTTCGAGAAAACAAATAATCATAAGCAAAAGCCCCGACGGGAGCCGTGTGATGTGTGTACCGTTGAGCTATTTCACACAACTTTCATGGCCCAAACTACTATCTTTGCACAGTTGCAGTTCCCTCGGCCAGATTCGGCTTGCGGGGGTCGGAATATGTCGCGGGGAGGCTCTTTCGCAGGTGGCCCCCAAATGGTCTGGCCCGAATGGCGTAGTTTCGAGCCGTTCTAAGACAAGCTAACAGACTTGGTCCTTGGAAGAAAAGAAGGAACTTGGCGTGGAATCGTGGTTCGACTAGGAGGATTGAATCATCGTCGTTCGGCCGCGAAATATGAAAGGGCGAGCAGAGGGGCAAGCTGGTGATCGGCGCAAGGCGATATTTCACCAAGGGTGTCTCTTGGTGGTCAAGAGGGGCTCGAAAAGGTCGGTCAATATTAATGCGGTGCGGCTGCACGTCTCGTTTGGGGGGTTAGAGCAAAGCAAGTGGTTCGGTTGGCAATGTCTCGCTCGGAGCAATATCGTTGGTGGTGGTATCGGTGGTTCGTGGTGGTGGTCTGGACCGACAAGGTTGAATTACTGGTAAAGGTGCTTGTGACAGAGCACAATCTTTTTGCTGATCTCGAAGCTAGTGCGGGGAACTGCAGGCATGCGGTAGGCGAAGAGAGCCCAAAAGACACGGCATCCCCGTTGCGGTGGAGGGATCGGCGATCGTCTGAAGTCGAGGACGCTGCAAAGTGCTGTATTAATGGCCAAACACACTGCAACTGCAGGTAGGTGGCAGACCAAACAACGATGAAGGCCGGGGAAGAGGACGGCTTGGAGCTGCAGGCGAAGCGATGCGCTGAGAACAAATTGGGTGCCACCTGCAAGAAAAGCAAAAGGCTGGGCAGGCCGCAGAACAGCAGACTATGGGTGGCGTTTGCCTGATGGGATTTGGAGCTGGTGCAATGCAGCGGACGTCGCCGGTGCAAAGTGTACAAGCAGGGAACCGTAGGTAGTGCCGCACAGGGGATGGAAAGTCGTATTATTCTCTGCGGAGGCAACCTGACTGGGAACGCGCTTCAACAAGCCGTGCAGCTTGTGTACTCGAGCAGATAGCGGGGGACAGACGGGCTGAATAGACCGACGGAAGAAATGTTGTACGTAGTAGTAGTTTGGCGGGCAAAAAATTGCGGTATCAGTGGATGACCACCTGATGAGTCGACAAGTACTCCAAGCTGGTGGTGGCTGGCTGACTTGTTGATGGGGCGAGAGAGGAGATATGCAGGAACCACGACAGGAGGTGAGCCGAGGTGGCGAAGAGGATGGCCAAATAGTAAGAAGAATGGGATGATAACGGAAGGGCTAGTGCGCTGCCTTAGCCAGATGGGCACCTATCGAATGTGTATTGATGAATTTGCTGATCCTAGGTCGTCGTGGACGTCCCCGGTTATGTGTCGATCGTGGTCTGCGTCTGCATCTGCATGTAATGTTGTCGAGTGCGCCGGGTCGGGATGGGAGTCCGGGACATTTTAATGAGCGGTTGAAATTTTGGAGAAATTTCATTGTTCGGAAGGAGGCCGGGATTTTGGGAAGGCGGACGTGGAGGTGGAGGTGGAGAGGCAGGCACGCAGGTTCCACAGGCCGAGGATGGAACTGTGTGAAAGTACATACCGGTACATACTCCGTAGAGGCAGTCCCTTCCTTGGTGCCCGCTTGCCCGTATTGCCTTTTCCCCATCCTTGTTCTTGCCATCCTTGGTGCCTTCCTCGAGTTTTCTGTTTTCCTTCCTATTTTGAAGTGATGCTTACACCTTCCCTCCAGCTCCTCTACGTAAGGTATGTCCCGGTAGGTACCTAGGTAGGTTGGTATGGTATGGTACCTACCTCAAGGCAGGTATGTACGTACACAGTCATCCATCCATACCTTACATGGATCTCAAGAAGGACCACAGAAACAACGCCTGCTGACTTGGAATTGACACATTTTGCTCGCACACTCTTACACACACGAACAAGATGGCAGCCGCGCCCTCGAATTTGGGTTTACATCGCCTCGCATCGGGCAGGACGGCTGCAGAGATAGCTCGGCTCCCGCGGTGACGGTTCAAATTCTCGTGTAATAAGTGAGGGGCTCCCTGGCGACGGGACATGACTAAGATGCGATTAGGTGCCCGTTAAGGCCCGATAGCAGATGGGTTGCCCTGATATCAACGGAATTTCTATCACCCAAGCACTGCGGCTACCTTACATTGCGGAATTTGATAGGTTGGAGACACGCATAAGGCACCTGTATGGTGTTGTCTCGCAGGTGGCATCCGCTCGCCCTTTCCTGCCTTTCCCTGCAGTGGTCCCTTCCTCGTTCTCAGTCCTGTCGCAAACCTGGAGTGTGTGCTTCCTCCAAATCCCCTCAGCGGGCACCTTCCATCCATGTGGTGTGGTGATGAATTTGAGCAGGGGTTCGACAGAGCTAAGAGCAGCACAGACATTGGCCTGGCCGGTGCTGTGCCCCCACCCCTCACCCCCCCCCCCCCCGTTTTATTTTGGAGGCAGGCGCCGATGGTGGCTCAAAGTGGAGTTTTAGGGGTCCCTTTTTGCTTGTCAAATGACCAGATTTGATGCACGAGCCCCCGGATAATTGAGGCAGGCATCACTGCAGGCTCTCGAAAGCTGACGGAACGCTCTTCCAGATCTTCTAGGCTTTCTATCCACCCCGAGCTTGACTGGCTGGCTGGTGGAGCTTTTCACTAATGTGTCTTGAATTGCCATTGATTTTTTTTTCTGCATCTTCCCACGCCGCTGCAGATTCGATGTGACGGCAAACTGACGATAATGATACGAACATCCAATGTGTCCCTGTCCAAACGACCCATCGGTGGCAAACACATCGAAATCTCGGCTACACACCACACCACTTCCTTCTCCCGACTCAGTCGACTAACATGGCATCGCATACTTACCTACCCCCAGGCTTGTGCCGCAAAACCCACCCATCCATCCCCTGATTATCATCCATGGCCAGTTAGGCTCGTCGCGTACATCACACACCACGCAGACTAGCCATGATTCTGGCCGGCTTCTCGGGGAGATCTACCCGCTGGGTTAGGGGAAGTCTAGGTCTAGGTCTCGCTGCTACTTGGGCTCCTTTGGCCTCGTTCACCGTTGCCCGCAGCCTATTGCAGCGATGATAACGAACAGCTCTCATATTCAACAATACCATCTCAACAGGACCCTCCGTCTGTGTGGCTACTAACGTCGGAAGCTACCCAGCGAATATGATCACATCGCGAAGCTAGATGACAAGTCGCGGTCGTCGATGGATTTCTTGCAGCATCTCTAGAGTTTCACTTACACCCAAGGGTCACCCATGCTCGCCCGACGACGTTCCGAGCGCTATCGTATCCCAATCAAACTTCAAATGTCCGGTCACTCTCTATTCTGCCGGGTGAGCCCCGCGACGATCCATCTACGTCTGCGAAAACAAGCGTTAAATCTACCAGGTCATGCTCTATCAGCCTGGTGAAGATACCTCATGCCATTCGCTTATACCGGTCTTCTACCTTCACCGTTCCGTTATACTTCGTCAACGCTATATCTATGAACCCAGGGCCACTTTGATATCCAAAACAGCGGGCTGACCGCCTTGCACCGTCTCAATAGCCTTCTTCAGCACACCATCAAGATCCGCCGCGTTGTCTACACGAGCAGCAAACAAGTCTCCACCCGCGGCCGCCTTGGCGATGCCGGCATAATCGGGTGCCGGGTCGAATGAGATGTTGATCTCTTCGTTGGTCGCCCTGGAACCTTCACCATCAGGGTGCACCAAAAGAAGTGACCGCCTGGGGGCGTTCCATCCTATCGTCTCATCAGCTTTCGTTTCAAACTCGCCAGAAGGATTCGTTAACCACTTACCCTTGTTATTCAGAATAATCGTCAGAATAGGGATATTGTATCGCTTGGCGATCCAGTATACGCTACCTGGCACAGAGAAGAGGAATGTGCCGTCGCCAACAATTTGCACAACAAACTTGCCCTTGTTGTTGCCACCGTTCTCAAAGTCGGTTGCCAGCTTGATACCGAGAGCGCCACCGCCAGACCATCCAAGGCCACCGCCACCGCAGTTGATCCAAGATCCGGGCAGTGTGGGCTGAAGATTGTCGTGGACGAAAATTGTGTTTGTCACAGCCTCAATGGCCCAGATGGTTTCCTCTGGACACAGCTTCTTCAGTGACCGGGTAAGGTGGCCAGTGCCGAACTCGCCATCCGCCTTGGGCTGCGCCTTTTCCTCGATCTTGGCAAGAAGTTGCTTGTGAGACTCCTTGACCTTTGCCTCGCGCTCCTTGGCTTCCGCAGACTCAAGTTGAGCAGCATACTGCCCCTTTAAGTGTGCAGTAATCTGTTCAATTGACACCAGGCTGCTCGCTCGGTATCTCGACTGCGCGGCGATGTAGAAGACGGGCATTTGCTGCTTGAGCGGGTCAACATCAATATGGAAAATCTTGGCGTCCTTCTTGGGGTGGCACAGAGTGTTGATCCACGGGACGTCGCAGTCGAGAACGACAATGACATCGGCAGTGTTTACCGCGTTCTCAATACCAAATCGAAGTCCCAACCAGCCAGGGTGGTCTGCGGGGAAGCACATGTCGCTACCACCCGTGTCAACAACGCGCAGGCCCTTGACGGTGTTTGCGAGTTCCACGAGAGCGCCAGGGAACTGGTGGTCTCTGCCGCCAAATCCAGTGACGATGAGGGGCTCTTTTGCACCGGCCAATGCCTCGGCAATCTTGTTGACAGCGTTCTTAGGAAGACCTCCGAGCTCAACGGGGTCCCAGTCCTCTTGACGAATGCTGTACGGTTCGACCTCAGCCTCCATCACCTCTCTAGCACCGCAAAGATATACGGGCCCTTGAGGGTCCGACTTGGAGAACTGAAGGGCGCGATTGACCATCTGCTTGACATTGGTTGCTGTCTTGAGCTCGCCTGAGTACCGGCAGTATTGCGAAACGATTTGCTTTTGATCAGGGACATCCTGAATCCAGTGGATGTACTCTGTTCTGCTGCCTCTCATCTCGCCTTCGATAGTGAAGGGAGACAGACCGGCAAACACCAAAACGGGCGCGCGGCCGCATGACGAGTTGTGAACAGCAGCGCCGAGACCTTGCGTTCCTACGTCGACGTGGACAATGACACATTGCGGCTTTCCTGTCAGGCGAGCGTAGCCGTCGGCCATGGACATGGCGACCATCTAGATACCTCATTAGCACATGCCCAAGTGGACGCACGCGGAAGAGACGGAGTTTCATTACTTCATTGGGACATGTGATGATTCTGGGGAAGTTCCCCTTTCGCTCCCTCTGACCCTTGACCATGGCTTCGATAATACTGGGGTGGTCAGAACCCAGGTTCACGAAGCAGTGGGTGACGCCGGCATCCCATAGCGCCTCGAAGAAGGCGAAAGACGCGGTATACATCTCGGTGGATTTCGAAGAAAGGTTCCTGGCCTGTTGGATGGTGGCCTTGAACTCATCCTCGACGAGAGGCCGAGAGCTGGTAGGCTTTATACCAGCACCCGCATGGGAGGATGATGGTGATGTTGATCCCCCACTTCGATGCAGTGGGGCAGCGGATGAGAAACCGGCAAGTTGACGAGCAGGGCCGCCGACAACGGCTATGCTGGGCGCCAATGTCTGGTTGAAGCGGACTAATTTCCCTGGACGCCCACCTGCAGGGCCGAAGCTGCGCAAGCAACGTGCCATTGGCACCGGCAATTGTCTGAAAGGCATGGTGAAGAACGGCAATAACAGGCCAACTAGCCAGCCAGCAGTGTGTATTGGAGGGGGGCGGGGTAGGTATCAACAAGTGAGGTGGATGTGTGTGTGTGTGTGTGTGTGTGTGTGATTGACTACCTCACAGTGTTATCAAACAACTCTGAGGGAGGGGAAGAGTCTCGCTTGGCAACTGCGTCAGTACTGAACAGTCTAGTACCTGGGAGTCGTCGAGCTTGTGTGGCACACTTCAAGCAAGCTGGGGATGAACGACTCGACCGATCACCGGTGTATGGGATACGGGGTTTGACCGATGACGCGCCGCGGCGGAGAAGTTGCACAATTCTGGACACTTTGTATAGGCTTCGTCCTCTGAGGTGAAGCCTGATGGGGGTAGTTTGACTGAAGTCAGTCGGGACAGGGCCTCCCGTGACGGGCGACAAAGACGAGTTTATACGCCAGGAACTGGGATCGTTCCACAGACCGACCGCCGGCCCAAGCTTGTTCCCCAGAAAAGGGAGCATCACGCCCTTGCGGCCCCCTTGGGCTAACCCCGCAATCGGCCCAGGGCCCGGTTTCATAGGGCGCTTGTTGTCGGCTCACTGCAGGGTAGGCGACACAGCTCCATAGCCGCTCACCCTCATCGTGTTTAGTCCCGAGAGAAGGGAGCACAAGGCGCCGTGGAGGGACATGTACAAGGGTTGAGGAGGAGGAGCGAGAGGTTGATAAGAGGAGACAGCCGTTGAGATGACATGGCAGCATGCAAGCTTCATCCCTGAGTGAAGCCGTTCGTGAGGTGAGCTGAATGACACGGCATGTACATAGGCACATCTCTTATCAAGATGGGATCTCAAAGCCAAATGTCCCAACTTCCCTACTTGGGGACTTATGTGTCAAACACCGCTCTGGGCCGAGGATTACCGCGACCCAGCCCCAAACAAGACGTTTTGAGGTAAACCATGGGCTAAGAATCCCGATTCTCAAGTCCCCGTCTCATAGCACAGGAGTTCCCCGCAGCAGTGCGCGCGTCCGGGCGTTCCCTGCAGCACCCAGCTGATGCGTCGAGCTTGTGCGGGGTGCAGGCGGTGTTATCTGGTGGCCTTTACTATTAGCTAAGAGGATCCGCTCGGCCTTTGAGCTTCGATGCAGAGAAGCCCGAATCTAAAGCAATGGAAAGGCGGGTACGAGGCAAAGCTCAATTGATGTTGTAGCTAATTCATCTTGTAGCTGGCAACACTATTTAGTGTTATTTTCATCTTCAAGTGTCATCCCATGACTAAGTCACGTTGCTCTGCACGTCCCATGTACAACCACATTCATCCATCTTGCCTCAATGCATCCGGCCAGATCCATCCAAGCACGGAACCAACGCCAAAAGCAACAAGGCACGTCAAGATCATCGTCGCCATGAGGCCCGCATAGCTCGTCTTCTTCGGCACTGCCACCGGCGGTTTCGCCGTCCTCCTCCCCGCCGAAGCCTGTCTCGTCGCAGTCGGCCTCGCCGTCAAGAGACTCTCCCACGAATACACCGTCGGCGCCGTCGGCGTGCCGTACAACGTCGTCTCCTGCTTATCCATCGTCTGATACCCGTACCCCGTAGTACTAGGCACCGCGCTCGGCGTGCTCGTCGTCACGGCCGTCGATTCGCCCGACCAATCGTGCCCGTCGAACGCTTTATACCACGACCACTGCGAGTGGGGGTCGTTCCAGTCCGCGAGGATACCGGGGCACTCGTTGAGGCAGTTGAAGAGTCCCGCGCCCGTGCCTTGCTTCTTGTTGCCGTGCTCGTCTGCGAATTTGAGGCCGCAGGTGCGGAAGCAGCCGTACGAGGAGCAGGGGAGGGAGTACCACGGTTTCAGCCAGCCGCCGTAGGATTCCCATGCCGTCCAGTCTTTGATGTCTGTGTTTGTGAGGGTGAAGTCTGGGGAGGATTCGACGCCGTAGTAGTTTGTTTGGATTTCGGAGCCGTTGAAGGCCATGGCTGTTATCTTGTAGGACTCGGAGGGGCCGAGGTCTTTGGGGATTGTGATTTTGGGTTTGGTCGTGCCCATTGGGATGAAGTCGCTTAGGTAGCCTGCCAGGCGACCCCTTGTCAGTGATGCACTTTATCGGTACTGCGCAAGGCGCAAGGATACTGAGGTAGGAAGAAAGACCCTCTTACAGGTGTACATCCATTCCTCGGTGTACAGGAATAGCTGGTAGTGCTCGTACAGCATGTCATGGCCGCAGCCGACGTCCTCGTCTATTGGATTGCGGCATACCGCCACGATCTCGTCAAAGACTGGCCCGGGGAGGGTCTCGTAGACGAACGGCTGTTTCCAGTAGTCGAAACCGATTTCGATTTCCGTCTCGACGCCAGCTTTGATCTCGGAGGGAACGGTGACGTTCAAGGCGTGCGCTGTTGAGAGGAGCGTCATGAGGAACGCGAGGAGGGTGTCGGGAAGGGCCATGGCTGCGGTGGTGGCGATCAGTTATCGTGATCGCGATCGTGGAGGTCGAGTGTGGAAGCCGGTAGTCACTCACGTGTACCAGGCGTTGAGCGAGTGGACGAGAGGCGAGCGCTCCCTTGGTGGTGGCGACGACAGCGAGTGCAAGTGTGGATGAATGAGGAAAGAGGCCATCGCGAAGAAAACTTCTGTGACGGCTGATCGTGTTGATGCGAAGGATCGGGATGCTAGACAGGGGCCGATGGGATTTCCTTAGCTCCTTCCTGCTTGGTCTGCGCTAAAAAATAAGCCTAAGTACTTTGGTCCCTGGTGGGGTCCCCGAAGTCGCCCGGGATCGGGCCCGGAAGTGGGTCTGTTTTCGGTGCATGGTCTGGGGGAGGTCGGGGCGAATTGCGGTGATGCGTCCTTGCAGCTTTCGTACACTGGTCGCTGACCATCGACGAACTTTTGATTGGGGTCGTCATTTGTTTCACAGCTTCGTGGTATGCGATGAGAAGGTAAAACCATCGGACGACAGCAATCAGTCAAGGGTTACACTAACTTCGATGTAGCACTCTTGGGATTCTTAATGCGGTCGTTCCTGAGCATTGAAACCCTGAGGATATAGTACGCTACAAGTAAGTCAGTCTATAAAGAATGTTCTGTCACATTATGGCCATAACAGCCGGGAAAGACTGGCCTCGAGTGTTCGGGGGTCTGCTTCAATACCACCCCGCTCGCATCGGACTGCCGCATGATGCTTGGAGCTCGAGTCCTTCACACTGAGCTCCAACCTGGAGCTCCGCACGACCCTGTTTGCATGTTCAGATGAACGCTGTTTGAGATACTTAAGCTGCCCCTCCCTCTGAGATCGCAGTCGGGGAGGAAGCTCCCCATTCATGATTAATACCCTTTTCTGCATGCTAAAGGTCAACTGTAATCAAAAACGAATTACTAAAATTGGGCACCAGCGACCTTGATAAAAGACACGCAAAACCGACTCTGAGAAGAATGTCTATGAACATAGCCTCCCCCTTCTCTCCTTACCCGAGCTACCTACTCGGCACAGGCCTCACTTTCATAGGCCTTCTAGGCTTCGTCCGGCCCCTGGCAATCTACGACGCCTTCGGCATCGCCAGACCCCTCTCCACAGAAGCCGAGGCTTTCAGCTATGCCAAATCAGCGCGCGACCTAGCTACAGGGTTGCTGTTTGTCGGGCTCGAGACGTATCAGGAGGGAAGCGGCAATGAAGACGCGGTGACTGCGTTATTGGCCGTTACTTCGCTTGTTGGAATCATGGATTGGTGGATTGTTAGGACGATGGGTGGAAAGGGAGGACGAGGAGATGGGGGGAAAGCGTTGACGCATTTGGGGAGTGGGGTTGTGCTTGGGAGTTTCGCCATTTGGAGGTGGATGTATTAGTCCTGGATGAGTCCTTCCCATGACGGAGGTTGGGGTCGAATGTAACGCAGATCCCAAGCAACTTGATGACCAGTAGTGTAACTTAGGCCAAACCGAGTGATCTTTGATGGCTTGTACTTGACTCCGACTTGACTCGGTCCTCATATTCTGCTTTAATTACAGACTTATTTACCCTTTGATTCATCTGACGCGCTAATATGTGCGAGCCTCAAGCCTTATCCTTGTCGACGATGATCTTGGGCGAGACCCTGATCTGCCAGTCGCTAATGTTGTGGTCATCACCATACGTCCGGAGCGCCCTCGACATGATCTTGTACTCGCCGCTCTCGATCGCACTGCCGTGCGAGAAGTTGCCGCTCGGCCACCAGGTGCTCGAGGGCAGGCGCGGGTACTGTTGAACGGGGGCATCAAAGTAGGCGTCCAAGATGAGGTTGTAATGCTGAAGGGAGCTAAAGTATTTGTGCTAGCCCGGAACAAAGGGGTATGTACAGTCTATGGGCTCCCAAGAGGGTTCGACGAGCTTGAAAGGGTTAGCTATTTCCAGATGAAGTACTTGGTTTTGATTCGGGAAACGGGGAGTACATACATCGAAGCTGAACTCACGACTAGGCCAGAGGATGTCAAAGTCAATGGTAAAGGTGTCTTCGATAGTCATCTTGAAGGTATCATTCTCTTGGATTAGCACAAAGTCAGGGGTTTGAATGACGGGGTCAATCCATTCGCCGGCCCAAATTTTGCTATCTTGGACGCTGCCTTTAATACCTATGGAGAGTCAGTTACCTCTGGAGCTGTCATTGAACTGGTATCATCTACATACCAGCGCATGTCACCCGCAGAGACTCGTCGTTAGAGCCGATAATATTGATGTATCCGCCATAGATCGGGAAAAGCTTCGCATCAATACCGGCAGGTTCGATGAAAGTCACCGTCAGAACTCCAGTCGTACCAAGAGCAACGTCAAGTGCAGTCGCCGAGAACTTGACCGTGGCCACCTCGCCCTCGTTCGAGGAGTACGAGATCGGAGGGAAAGCGACCACGGGATCGGAAGCGGGCTCATTGGAGATGGTGGAGTGGTCTGTGTCGTTCAAATTGATGACGGCGGGGTTGATGGATGTCTTGTAGGTCATGTCCTTTAAAGGCGTCGACTATACCGGCACCTGGCATTGGAATAGGGGTAATAACCCGTCAGCTTCGCTGAATCTAGAAACGCTAAGATAGAGAGACTTACGCTAGAGAGCCGCTTCCATCATGGTGAACGACGGGCTTGCCGCTGGAGGCGATGAGGTGGTGGGCCGAGTCGCCGGCGTTGCTGGAAATTTTGGAGCGGCCTCCGTTCGCTCAGAAGTAGAGAGCGGTGACGCCGGCAACGTTGAAGTTCTGTTAGAACGAGTTGAGCTAGTCTCCAAGCAGCAACTTAGGTACATATGGAGTGGCCATGCTGGTTCTAGAGAGAACAGCCTACCCACCCTCGGATGTCGGATACGTGGGAAGAAAGGAACCACCTGATATGGGGATTAGGTAAAATACGAAATGTTTGAACAGCTAGATGTCGGGACGACAATAGCTTACCAGGAGCTGAGATCTCGGGCTTAAGACGGCTGTCAATTGTCAAGCCCTAGGACGAGAAGTAGTCAATGGCACCTGCAACGGATCCAGAGTTGGCGCTGGGAATGCCGACTGCCTTGCTACCGTTGGCTACAAACTCAAAGCTTACCTTGTGGCCCCGTTCATTTTGCTGAACGAGCCACTTGCCATCCTCTAGACTGGTGAGTCCAACTGATTCGCAATTTTAATATGTCATGATCGTGTTGCAGGACAGGGGGACGCCAAGTTATGGAAATGACTTACATCCAAGGGGCTGCTCCTTGGGGTTGTAGACGTTTCGGTTGGGAATCTCCCAGGCAGCATCCTGAAAGTTGTAGTAGAACGCCAACTTGACACTCGTTCCGAAGAGGTGGGTGTCGAGGACTTGCCAGCACTGACCATTCTGTAGCACATGTGTTGGTGAGGCTTAGGTCGAATCATAGAGTAGACAGGCACAACAACAATGAGATTTCCGCCAGTTGATAGCAATTGTGAGAGGTGAGCTGAGAAAGTTGCAAAGTTATCTTCAGCGATGTAATGCTCAATTTTGGTTGACTTGTTTCCAGCGCTCTGCGATTGTGATCTCCAGTCTTTCGAACTTCTTTGTTCCCCATTGATTTGACACACTGCTGCGGCCACATTCAGGCACATGACATTGTATTACTTGTTTCCGTACCTCTTAAGAATCAAGGCTTTGTTACACTCCATTCGACTTCCAAGTTCATTGACAAACGGTGCTTTCATCAGCTATTTTGGTAACATTCAAGCCATTGGCATCATTGATAGACTACAACATGATTGTTCAGAGGCTTCTTTCGCTGTAAACGACATTAGAACCACTGTATCGATGACTCTCTGGCTTCAGACACACTATTTAACAATCCGTTGCAACCGAGTGTCTGCATCACCTATAGTCATCAACAGCCTGACCATCGACGACATCACCAATACTATTTCAGCCCCTGGCATACAACTCTAGCGCGTATCTTCCTTACAATAATACATTTTTGACTACTACGACTTTTATACATCTCTACTCTGCGAGATCGGATCTCTTCTTTAGCATCTCATTTATATAGCTCACGTGCCTTACTTATCACACAACTTGTCGACAATGGCCTCGCCTACTCACGACCCGGCTGACATTCTTTGCTGGATGAGGGATGTGTCCGGAACTTTGGAGGACACAAGCTCACTTGAAGAAGAGGTGCCAATTCCCCCTGAGGTTAAGCAAATTCAAGAGACCAGTTCTGGTACCGCTTACATTGCTGACCGGTCTGCTTCTGGAAGTGGATCACGGGCAAGCGAATCTGGAGAGACGCCAGCTCTGACGACAAACTCAACATGTACCAAACGCTCCTCACGATCTGAAGATGAAACTGACAATGAAAGTGTCAAGAGACGTAGGTGCAGCTACGTTCAGTCGCCAACGTTTATACAAAGCCCATGGGAATCTGCGACCGGTTGCCATATGTACTACCGAAACAGCTGTCGCCCAAGAAAGCTGGAAACTGTCACATCGTCTTACTGGCCAGATATTCGCGATGTCTATGCCAGATCACTTCATGACCCGAGCATCGAATGTTGCGTTCCCTGTTCCATCTGTCATGAGGATTGCGCAGACGAAAGTACGTCTTGGAAAGTTGGATGGGAACTGCCCGTCATCCTTGCTTGTGGCCATATGATTGGGGAAGAATGCCTCAAATCGTGGTTCAGATCGCGGGCAAGAAGTGATCAGCCAAAGGACTGCCCAGTGTGCAGAAGGTTGCTCCAGTGCTCCGAATGCAAGGAAGCCTTCATGTTCTCGATCCTTTGTCGCGATTCTTACGTCCCGAATCTGAAGACCAAAACCTACAGCGAGCAGCCAATGGAGCAGACCATTTGCAACGATTGTCAGGCCGAGACTGATTTCGGAAGTCGAATCCTCCAAGGTGAGCATATTGCCGAGCCATTTCCCCGCGGCGGCGCTCCCCGACGTATGATAGATTGGTACCGTCAAGTAAGGGATGAGTTTGAAACCAAAGCAAAGTTGAGCTTGGGTGACGGAATGAGACCGATCGACGTCTCCGGCATGATTCACAAAGAGATTTTCGCCGAGATGGAATCATGGCTGTATTTTCTGAAGGAGGATGTGGCTCACAGAGTACAGGCAAGTATCGCTAAGATTGAGACAGAGCTGGATGAAACTCACTGGTGGAATCGCGCTGGAGTGGACGCGGAAGAAGAGTTTGACATCAACCCAGGCTATGGCAATCGCTCAGATGGTGGCGAGGACCGCGGCGAGGACGGCATGAGTTACGAGGACTTTGATGGCCGCTGGCATGGCGATGAGACTCAGGCTGGGCACAGGGATTACGATGCCGCTAACTATACCTGGTGAGATTTGCTGACATCAACTTGGTGTTACACCATACTTTCCAGAAGATAGAGCGTTGTTGATTTTGAATGATCTGATCGATGAAATACGACTTGGATAAGTTGTGGTCAAGAATGTGAGGGGTTGTTACAAGCTCAACCCGCAGCTGTAGTAATTCTGAATAGAGTCTACTTCATCTATCCATTGGTGGTATCACGATCTCCATCTGTTCCGGACGTGCAGTTGATCTGGAGCAAGTTCTTGTCCAGGTTTTTGCATTCGTACACAGGTGGCTTCCCGCTTGGCACCGTGACTGTGACGTTCTCGGCGCGGATGTTGCTGCAACGCTATATCGTAAAACTAATGTCAGTGATGTGTCCGGAGAATCAATGCTCTTTCATAGCGATGGATGGGAAGCTTACGTCTGCGGCACTACAAACAAGGCTTCCGGCTTGCGGGTCTAGCTTGGTTGAAACCGTGCCGTAGATGTTCTTCAGAGTGATGTCAGAAATTGTAAGGTTGGCCTAGAATCACCATGATCAGCACTCAATTGTACAAAGAGCTCAGAGAGAACGAAGGGACCTACTGGGAACTCCTCGCAGAGTGTTTGGTTCTTTTGGCCGTAACATTGCGTGATCGTAATAGCCCGATCATTGTTGGTATTCTTGAAGAGGTCATACGTGACGTTTCTGACACGCCCGAGACCACCGCCACCGTTCAGAAGTGTCTGGAAAGCAGTCTCAATACCTGGCCAGACCTTGATCCGAGCGGCATCGCTGGCGTTGGCCATGGTTGTGTTGTAGATGTAGAGGTTCTCGACGATGTCGGTCTCGCCCTTGTACTGGCCCAGGGAGCCAACGCTCATGCCGTGTGAGCCAGTGCAATCCAGGTTCTGGACGACAACATTGGTGCTGTTTGGTTTGAATGACACACAGTCTGCATAAGCCATCGAGATTAGTTCACGAAACCTTGACGAGAGTTTCGATAATTAGGCTGCAAGCAACCAGATCATCCGTGGCCAAACTCACCGTCTGTGTTGATAATCACTGAGTTCTGAATCACAATGCGATCGGACCGATAAGTATCCCAACCATCCGAGTTGGCGATCTTGACACCATTTTGACTCTGTCCCAATTATTGTGTCAGCTTTTGCGCCGCCCTGAGATGGGGGTAAATCAGTGGAGCGACCTACCTGGGCTTTAAGATCCATATCACTGATAATGACATCGGTGCTGTTCGCAATCAGGTTGAACCACTGGTCTCGTTAGCCTGTAACAATCTGGATGTGGTGGTCACAACTCACGTTGGGAGGGTTGCGCATCCGAAGGTGTGACATTGTCGCCCCCTTCGCTCCGTCGAAAGAGAACAACATGGGCCTCAAGAGCTATTATGTCCTGTTTAGCACACTCGAAAAGTAGCATGACCTGGCGTTCTTACACTACTGTTGGTCTGAATGGCCTCCCAGTATGCCTGACCGCGACCATCAATGATAGACTTATCGTTCCCAAGATCACCATAGATGTTGATATCCTCGCCGCCAAACTTCCAAAAGACTGACTGGTTCTGGAAAGCGAACTTGAAACTGTTGTCGGCCCAGTAGAGGGGGTCATCATTGAACTGGATGTCGCCGGTAATTACTACGTCAATGTGCTTCAAGAAGGTGAGATCCAACGGCGAGCTAATGAGGTAGGTCTTGTCGAACACCACCGTGCCGCCGTCGTTGCATTCCTTGAAGGCTTTGAGGATCTTCGGCGCGTCGTCCTTGCCCTCGGTGCAGCTCGGCTTAACGTAGCAATAGCGGTCTTTGTCTCTGGGAGGCGAAAATGGCATGGCCCTTCCGGTGTTGAACGGAGCGGGCTCAACCTTAGGGCGCTTGGGAAGCTCATCCTGGGCGGAAACAATCGACATCAGGCCAAGGGCGGCGGCCCATAGAGCCAAAGAGGTGGTCCGCATCTTGACAAAGTTGCACGCACACGGGAATGACAGAGTGGTGTTAGAGATGTGAAAGCGTCACTACTTGAGTCCTAGTCCCCGAGCCATCCGTACTCAAATACCCAAAATCCTAAGAGCTTAAGTTTAATGAAATGTCACCGGCGGCGGATCATATCATCATGATCCCCAGATTGAATGCAACAATACGTGGAAGATTTGTGGGGTTCATGTAAGGTCCCTCGGCCGGTCGGTAGAAGATTTCGCGGACTGGGGTGCGAGCAAACACGTTGATTCTTCCCAAAAGAGCATTCCCTTCAACCTGACGAACCCCTTGCGGCTGAATCCTTCTTGCGCTTCTCCGCATACTGTACCCATTTGTGAGCGCGGGGTAAAGAGGGATGCGGAGAAATTATCAGAGACAACTTGGCGAGGCAATTAGCGAGCCGGTGGGTGCAATTTGCTTCGCATTTCCGGTCTTGGCGTTGACATAATATGAGATCACACAGGTAGCAGATATTTGCTGAAGCACTGGGCTCTCGAGACCCTCATCTTCAAGAAAACTGGGAACGGGAGCTTGGTCTCAAAGCATCTACCCGCAGATTAGGCAATGGAGTCTAGAGGCCCTCGCAGAAGAATGGAGCCATTCAGGCTGTTGGTGGTACATCGATGTAGGGCAGCGCGATTCGAGACCCCAAGCGACAGATCATAGTGATCATGGTGAATTTGACTCTCGTTGAAATCTTTGTCACTGGCTTCCGAGGCAAATCCAAACAATGATAACCTCGAGATTCTCACGATCAGGATCGTTGTGCTGCTTCATCGTCGAGAAGGTATAAGGGAATGCTCTTCAAACTGATCTCGACCATGGGAAGGTAGCCAAGCTTGACTTATTAAGGGGATTCGAAATCAAATGACCCATTAAAGAAGTCACAAAACCGTGATCAGCTGCTAGTGGGAGAGGGGGGGAGGGTATCAAATGTTGCATGTATCAAAGCCAACCGGCCGTCCTTGATCATATCCCTGCTGTCCTGCTTTTGTCCTCAAGACCTGACTACATCATGTTGTCCTCGTGAATCACTTCCGCTCGCGCCATAGACGTCCAATAGCCTCCTCCGTGGCTGTGTGTATATTGGAAGAACAAAGGGAATGTTTCAGAATCCGCAACATGGCGATATAGACGATAGGCCGCGTCCGAGACCAGACTTTTATCAGAGTTAACTTCTCAAAAAACCCGTGTCCGATAGCGCTGAGGCGGCGGGGGTTGCTGACGGCGAGCTGGTCCATTGGTCTTGACTTTCCATGCGTCGTAACGATTAATGTGGAAAGGTTCGGGTGGTTGTGGTTGTGGCATTGGAACGTATTGCATTGGTCGGCCCCGGGTCGGGTAGACCCGCGGAGGTATCCTTGGTGTCCTCGGCCCACGGGACCCGGTCACCCCGCTTTCGGAGGAAGAGTCATAATACAAGGAGTCCCAGTCCGGTGGCGGTCCTGGTCTTCTCTTGTTCTGAGAAATGCAGAACCAAGCGATGAGAACAATGGCGACGAAGGCCACGATGCCACCCAGGATTCCTCCTATCTGTGCGCTTGATAGGGATCCGCTTGATCGGTCCGGAGGTGGTGGGTCCGTGGTCGGAGCAGCGGCTGGCGGGTCGGCCGGGTTGCCATCGGAGTATGATGTCGGTGGCCCGCTCCCTAGTGTAACGTATGTGACGAAAGTTGAACTTGGTCGATAGATCGTCTGAGTTATGACATGAAAGCCTGTCTCTTCCTGTCGGGCAGCGACGGGAAGAGGGGTTTCGCGGGGTTGCAGCGAAATCGGAGTGGGAGAGGTATGCATTGCTGACAGGATCTCATCAGGTTGGTTGGTAAGCGTCTTATTCGTTATATCCAGCCAAGAAGAGAAGGCCTCACTGGCTAAGGCAAAATGGTACCGTTAAGTAACTTAGATAGCGTGGTAAACAATGAACCACATGAGTGAGTGTCAAAAGACCGAAGAAGCCACAGTACGAAAGAAAAAGGAAAGAAAGTGCAAGACGTGTCATTCTTATCCAGGAATCTAGAAGCAGGCTGTGGTTCGCAGAGAAAGTTGCTTACCATCTTACAACTTCTCACGGGTGCCAAGTAGCATCCACCGCATACTTCCATCGCAAGGCCAAGACTAGGCATAGACGCAATTCCTACGAACGAGCTGCAGCGCCACAGGCAACACCACGCCCCCCCAGACACATCAGATAAGACACTCAAGACGCGACTAACCTTGTTTTGACACCTCTCTGCCCAGACTTGTCGATATCGTACGGCTGCGCCTGACACATCCAAAAGACCTGCAGGCAGGCTGCAAGGCATTGAGGCTGGCCAGTGAGGACCGACAGCGTGGTGCCATGAACATGCAAAATGCGCACATGATTCTGCCCATCAACACTTGCGATAAATGGGGGTGAGAGACCAGATCCACCAATAAGCTGAATTGGTCGGGCTAAGGTGCAGGAGTTTTAATCAACCGAACCAATGTCATTGAGTTGCGGACAGCCATTAGCAAGTACCGCACAGTCAGACATCGTATACACACCCACACGGGGGCCGGCCCGTCGAGTTGGATCTGTGTGAGTGAGACCCTTGACTGGAGTGCTCATGTGCTTAGTTTTCAGTGAGACACGGTGTATATCAACAGCGGCGGCATCTTAGTTGCCGGACCTACTTCGCGTGTGCGAATTTGGCCCCCAACCAACCTTGACTAACATCAACCTATGCAGACACTAACGCGGTCATTGCATCGGCCAACCTGGATGAGAGTTCGTCATCAATCTCACAAAGATAAGACCGGAAGGACACGGCAGTTATCAGAACAAATCCCGACGAAGTTAATTGCTACCTCAACGGGTGACACGATGCCGGACCTCATCGCTACTATTTCCAGGTGTCGTCACGTCCTTGATCGTGCTCGATCTATCCTTTGCACCCGCGAACTCAAGGCGTCATTTTAAATCTCTTTTGTGTCCCCCAAAGTTACACCACGCCTGGAAATATTACATGCCCCCAAAAGTACACGAACGAGGTTAAGTGAGAAAATCATCATGCCAAAGTGCCAAGAAGCGCGTGCGCGCGCGCGCGGATTGCCGGTTTTATAAGTCCGCAGAAATTCATTCAAAGACTGAAGAACAGAATTGCGTTCGATCAACGGGGGCCAGGCGAGCGAACTCCAACTACTCTGACAGAGTATCAATGGCAGTATCTGAAAGAGGGTTGAGTCAGCTATTCGTTCTGTTTCGTTTCTTCAGAGAGAATTCATCAAACTTACTTTTACTTCGATCGGACTTTAGCAAGATTACGCAACGGCTCTCCTCCCCTCGCGGAAAGCAAAACGAACAACTGTTCCACCTATCTCCTCCTCTCAGCCTTACCGGCACGGTTCGGTTGAGCAGCAGCGGTAGGGTTGTTGTCAACGATGATACCGACGCCGGCACCGCCCTCGCCGTTTCCGAGCTGGATCTTGGGACCCTTTGTGAGCGCGGCCTCGGCAAACGTGAGGGCACGATCGAAGCCGCTCTGGCGCTTCTCCACCCTCTTTGTAATATCTCGGCCTGCAACGATGCCTTGTTGAGCGGCTCCGGGGGCGCCAACGCCGGCAGCGGCAGCGGCTGCGGCTGCTGCGCCTTCGCCTGCGGCGGCGCCTCCCTTACCCTTTCCAGCCTCCGCCTCGCCTCCGAATGTAAGCGCACCATCACCGACTACCAACGCAGGGGAGTATGCGCCGAGGTTGATGTTCAGGGGTGCGGGGGCGGCGTTGATCCCTACGGCCAGGACGGCGAGGGTCATGAGGGTGCTGGTGATCTGCATGGCGAAATATTGGAAAGTTGAATTGAAAAGATTGGGTATCGTGTGTCGGCGCAGCCGGTAAGTGTCTCTCTCCTCAAGAGGAATTATTAGGTAGTACTGAAAAAGAAGGGGATTCCTTTGGTGGCGGAGAATCGAAGAAGCAGAACAAACAGCACAGCTGAAGTGAGGAGGAAATAAAGAGAGATGACGGAAATCAGGTAATAGCACACGCGTCAACGAGTGGCAAGGCAAGGTGGGAGGAGAGAGCGTAATGAATGAAATCCCCACGGAGCGCCAAGAAGAGGTTCAAATACCTGGCATGGAGAACCACGACCAGATCCAGAACCACAACCAGTGAGAGAGTGTCAAAGGTGAGAGGTTGGAAGGTGGAGGATGGGACAAGAGAGGCGCGGAGACCATGCCATTCGGGGTTGCGGCGCCGTCATGCGTGTCAAGACCTGCCGCTGCCAAGGCCAAGCGGCTCTGTCAAAAATAGAAGCTCTTCCAGGTGCCTTGGACAAGAGATGATAGGTTCTTGGGCGTTCTAAGCTCCAGGGACTAACAGGCACACGGACCTTGAGGAGGGGGGTTTCCGCTTGGGATTCGAGGAGAAGGGCAGCAGAGCCGCGAGTTGATCCAGGGGGGCCATGTGGTTTCCATCGATGGTATGGTGATGATGGTGGTTACGCGGGATGTGGTGGAGAAGTGCGTCTGAGCGGAGGTGAAACGGTCCAAGTCCCAAGACCTCCAACAACGAGGGCTCCCCGAAACCATATAGAGTCTTGGCAACTGGGCTGGATGCGGCCCTGGCTTTGTCAAGAAGCAGCTTCTTTCTATGAGAGCGCTGCAATCTCTTCTCTGTTGCCCATGGTGTTGCGAAGTAAAGATAGATGAAGCTGATGTTTGATGTTGGGGCACGAGGGGTTGTCTACCGAGGATGCGATCTGCGACCTGCCACAGGCTAGCAGCTGCAAGGCCGTTTTACCATTCGCAGCTCCGACAAGAAATATCAGTAAATTACTTAGAAGAGCCATAGTCTGCACATGAATACCTACCATGATCGCCAAGATGTCTGCTTGCCGATGGCCAAGGACCGGGCGTTTCCCAAGACAATTGGCCCGGCCAGCGATCGGGATACCAAGGCTGCGCCCAGGACTTCCAAGAGATCCTATTCTACAACCGTAACGACATACACCATCTACTCGCCCGGAGAACGTCGCATACGAGGATTTGCCATTCTAGCCTCAAGACCGCTTCCCCGACGTGGATGCTGATTGGACCGGGCGACGTTGAATCGAAGCTGGGACCCAAACCTACTCCTACACCGATCCGAGTCAACGGAGTCAAACAACACTCATTGAATCATTCTTCTCCGAAGTAGAGCAGCTTGCAATGAAGATCTGACATTGACAGCTCTTGGTAGAATAAATTTCAGAGTGATTTCGCGCGCATCGAGAAAGACTGTTTGAATGGTTGGGTGAACTAGAGGCCCATGTCGAACTTGACACTCTTATGCATTGACTGACCGCTAACCATTAGAGACTGGTCGCTGATTGTGTCTGAATAGGCTAGGTTGAGCCGTTCCACAGCACTTCCTTGCAACGGCGCGTGCCACCGGCGGAAACACACTCGCGTGTGAAACCTTGCGTCAGAAAATTTCTGTCTGCGGGTAATTAGCCCCTTGAGTCTTGCAGATGTCCAGCTGACTCGTCACCATAAAACAAATACGATCCCACCGGTGATTGTTTGCACATGTAGAGTCGCATGTGAGCGGCATGCCGCCTTGGAAATGCTAGTCTGGTTGGATACTTGCCACATCACGCCACGAAGGAGTTATCATGTCAACACTGTCATGTCCTGTAAAAGCCAGATCCGAAGCCCTCAATTGTGGATTTGATGTAGTTGAAATGCCATTCATCTAGCGAATCGTAGTCAATATTGACTGTGAGTAAGTGACTGCCCGTACTCCGTACAGTACCGACCGGTAGTCGGAGAGACTACCAGCCGAAGTTCTTACAAGAAGTCAATACAACACGTCGATAAGCTACGATAATACGGAGACGCAATGCTGATCTAGGAGATTAACCCGATTCCGATGTCTCTCACGATCTTCAGTGACGTTCCGCCTGTCTAAAGAAAGACTCGGAGATTTACCATTGGCCTAGGCACTGCCTCCGTAAGTGTTTCACAGCGACTAGCTTGACGGGCAAGACAACAACCGCGGCTACCTTCGACACGGATCCTTGGGCTTTATCCTTATAACCGTGGCACAGATGAGCGACTGTGCCTTGCGGTTGTCTCCTTGCACCTGCATAATCCTGTATGGCCAAGACATTATCCAGATCTACATATTGAAGCTTTTCCATACGCCAAGAACTCTATGGTTTGGCGCCATTGATTTTCAGAATGGTTGGAAAATGGGATCTGAGTTTGACACCTTTAGAATGCAATTTCGGGGTACTTCAAACTCGGCTGGGCCTGAAGGAGAGCTCAATTCCAGTAATAGGTAGTCAGCCAGAACATAATCATCTCGGTAAAGCCTAAATTTGTCATTGTGTGCAGCTGCTGACTCAATCCTGTGCTTCCTCCTGCTCCCGTAGACGAATTCCTTTTGGTTCGCCACCCAGATCCGATCCTCAATAGAAACTACACAGTCTAATGCCTATGCAGCTGAATATGCCTTTACGAGACATGACGTCCCGTGTCCAGCATCTCCACCCAAGCTTCCTGCCTCTTCTGCTCAGCAGTCGGCGTCAGCCAAGTATACTTTTGATAGATATAATCGCTATGCGCAATGTCTCGGATCTGCCTCATAAGGTTGTCAAGCGCTGGTACCCGCTTGTAGTCACTGTAATCTTTCCCATCAGCTTTGTGGTCGTATCTGGGAGCCCAAACCGCACGGGACCTGGTCTCGCTGAGTATGGCTCTCATTAGCGAGTTGGTCGCTCTCTCGATGCGGAGAGCGCGGCACGTGAAGCAACACGAAGGGCGGGAGGCGCCCTCGGGAGTGGTGAGCGGGAACTTGTCTAATTCGGTCATGCTCCCCGGCAGAGGCAAACCCATCATGCCCACATCCATACAGCTTTGAGCGCACTGCGAGTAAGGGCCGATGAGGCCCGGGCAGTAGGGGCACTTTGGTTGACCGAGGTTGTAAAGATTTGCAATTTGTTTGATGCACGCTTCGCACAGAATGTGACCGCAAACGAGAACCATGGCGCGGTTCGAGTTCTGGCCGGGCGTGGTGGTCATTGATGTTGAGCATTTGGGGCATGGAGCAGCAAACTGCTGGAGGGCCGTGTCGGAGGTCATCCAAGACTTGATTTCCGGCCAGAAAACCTTTCGGATTACTTCGCGCTTGTCCGTCATTGCGGCTGCATCCGAGGGTACGAGACGATCGACCGGCCCTTGTCCGACCGGCATGTACGGCGGGACGGGCTGCTGCGACGGATATCCGGACGGGTATGCGGACGGTCGCTGTGATTGCTGGAGACTTTGGGGCGGAATTTGGTGCGGAGCGCCAATGAGAGGGCGGCCGGCTTGGGCCGACGGGACCGAGTCCCATCGGTTGCCAGTGAATGCATCGTTGCCTTCGCCGATATCAAGTGATTCGTCGACCGAACCGACGACAGAGGGAGCTCCTTGGCTCCCTCCGCTACTGGCCCCGCCGAGACCTCCACCAGACCCTCCGCCGAAGTGCATGTTGCGAAGCTTTTGCAAGGTTTCTCTGTCCATTTTATCAAACTCGTTAGATGGTTGAGCTGAAATGTTTCTCAAGTAAGGTGCCAAACAGTGGAGGGACTGAGACTGTCTCGATCAAGTCGTCGAGAGGATGTCGTAAGACGGGCTACTCGAGTCTTCTTATATCTGGAATGGTGCTCTTGGTCCTCTGAAGGCATCTGTGCTCCCTAGTTGTTGTTATTCGTTACCTGCTTTGTGTCGCTTAG